GGGTAAGGGCGCGGGGAGTATTATGAAACTATGGTGTCACGGGAAATCGGCGGCCAGCATAAGGGCACTCGCTAGACCCTTGCCTGCCTCAACTGAATCTAACTATTCAACTGGCGCGTAAAACTTCTGTTGTACTTCCTCGGAATGCGCGGCGTACCATATCTTTGGATCCCTCGTTTCCCTGAGTCTTCTGGGCCCTCAATGTAAGATTCCGTCCGGACTATGGATTTCATAGTAGCACCCGTCTATGCCCCATTCTTAATAACTATACACGTCTGCTAGAGTACTCAGGACGAGCCCCGCTAAAATCTTATCTTTGCTATACCATGGGGGGGGATAGGCTTTGGCACGGATGAAACGAGACATATAATAATATCCTGCTGGCTGGCTGCGGTTCAGGGAATTCTTGATGAGGTGTTCAAGGAAGATATCAAGAGCTCGAGTTACTTATAAAACCACTAGGGGGGCTTTCTATCCACTTCACTGCGGAACTTGGAGCGCTCAAAGAATACCAAGGAGTCCTCGCACGATTCCGAGTCTTGGAACTCGCATTATCCTCACATCGGACACTTTGTTAGAATCTACTACACCTCCTCGCCTAAAAGAAAAATGGTTTCCTGCTTCAACGACGAAACGCGCGCCCGCGGCACGCCGAAAGGCTTCTACGCGGCGCCACCGCCGCCATCGTCGGCCCCACAGCCGGCGCCGTACAACACGGCTGCCCGCTCCGGCCCACCGGGCAAGGCCGATATCCTCGCGCGCCAGCTCGCCGCGCTGCCCCTCATCGCGCTCCTCTATACCGCCGCCGTCCCCTTCACGCCGGCTGCCTGGGTCCTGCACGTCGGCGGGAGCTCCCTCTTCGACCGCCTCTTCGCCGGGATCGTCGTGCTCGCGGCGTGCTACTTCCAGTGGCGCGTCGCAGGGCTCACGGCACCCCTCGCTGTCTTCTTCCCGGGGGTGGGCGGCGGCGGCTCGACGGTCAGGAACGGACGGATCGAGCGGGCGCCGGGCCCGGGTTTCGTCTGGCACCCCGACCACTACTGGCCGTACGCCATCTGCGAGGCGGTGCTCCTGTGCGTCGCCGAGTTCGGGGGCAACGAGCTGCTGAGGCGGTACATCATCTGTGGCGTCCTCGGTGGACTGTGGCTCGTCGGGTACCACGCGACGCCGGAATCTACGAGGCGCTGGGCCTATGAGAACATCAAGGGCTGGCTGTTCGGGATGGTGCTGGACGGGATGATGCGTGTCGGAGGGAGGAGCTACAACGCACGGCGTCGTAGATGAGTACTGGTGCCAGGGGCAACTGAAGCTGCCATCGGGAAATGCCCTTTTGGATGTGAGCTGTCTTGAGACTATTATTCGTGTATATAAGTGCTAAACCGTATGAATCATTATTAAATATCCGGCGACTCGTCATTTTCGTTGGGTTCATGGATCTGGAGCTGCTGGAGCCTTTGGAGCAGGTTCTCCGCCTGCGCCGCCGAGGGATCCGTCATGGCCAAGTCCAAATCCACAACCCAGGAGACGGGCACCCGGTCGGAGACCTCGTGATGCCTGCCACGGAGCTCGAGGTCCCTCCTGATGTCTCTCGCCCGCGAGGTTTCCATGACGCCCCTCTCCAGGGCCATGGACAGCAGGCTCAGCGTGATACCTTTGGCCAGCTGGAAGCCGGTGTAGAGCGTCTGGAAGCAGGCCATGCAGAGGAGGAAGTAGAAGCGCCATTCCGGTCCGTGCACAGAAACCTTGGCCTCGGTGAGCATCGCGTTGGCGAGGTAGAGGAGCGCCGAGTGCCAACAGAAGCAGTACGAAGACTCTGGGTACTTCTGCCGATAAAGGAGCACTATTCTCTTCAGCTGGTTAACGGACGCCGCGTAGACGGCATCCGGGGTAGCTTCTGCAGATCGGAAGGGAGGGAGTCTCTGTCGAGGGGCGCCGTTTTGTTGGAGGAGGGGCCGGAATAGATCGATGATAGCCACATGATAGTAGATACTAGATATCGCTTTAGTTGTGTATTCCGAGGGTCCCTTTTTGACTGTCATTGAGCTCTAGAACGTACTGCAAAATCATGACATAATGTGAACATTGGTCACCCTGAGCCATCTCTAGTGGTAATTCATCTGCCCACACCAAAAGCCGCTGGTACGTTTTCCCGGCAAAGGCCAGTGTTACGGCTTCGGCACAAAGCATCTCTTCTGACCCATACATGACTTGGACCATGTCATGAACTATCAAAAAGAGGCGACATTGCTCCCTCAGTAAGTTAACATCTGGGATCCCTATGGTGTGTTCCTTTATCAAGCCAGTGTCTCGTGTGATATGTGCCCTACGTTGTGGTAGGGGAGCGCGTGGTGGATGTTTAATCAAGCGCTGGTGAAGGAGCAGTGAGAAGAAGCTGTTAAACCGTTAGCTGACGCACCTCGGCGTCATGAGAAACAGCAAGAGAGGGGGGTTGCATTGTCACTGCTCCCATCATGATAGAGGGAAAAGAGAAATAGGAAGAGGAAGAAAAGGGGAAAGGAGAAAACAGCAAGGAATGGGGCAAAATGAGAAGGGAGAAACGGAGTGATGTCCTGGGTCCGCCAGTTCAAGGTTGACGTACGTAAGACAGGTGAAAAGCACCCAGGCTATCTGGGCCTTTGCTCGCTGATAGTTTGCACTGTCGTTGGCATTCAACTCCTCCATCCGAGAAGGGTCGATGTTGAAAAGGCCAAGCCTCTGGGACATGTCGAGTAGATCGCCGAGGAACTCGACGTATTCCGCCCCAGCACCGAAAGAGACTGCGGTGATGAACAAGTAATGCACCGCAGCCACAGTACAGACGTGGTCTGTAGCTTGCGCTTCCTTTGTTCTTTTCCACAATTTCTTTGCTTCCTTGTAAAACCTCTGGCCTATGAGTGTGGCGTTCGGCTCGAGAACCGCGTATCCCTGCTGCGCAGCGGTGAGACTAGGCATAAAACCCAGCTGCTCTAGGCAGCATTGTTCGTTTGGCGAGTACTTACGCAAGCCCAGGCGAATAGTGCGTTGATGAGGACGCGGGAACAAAATTCGTTCTCGCCGTGCAGCCCGTCCAAGAGTAGGTCTATGTCAATCAGGAGCATCATCGGGTAGTCGGTCTCGAGGTGGAGCTGTAGGACTGCAACAAAGAAGTTGTTGGCGATGGGCACATCGGTCCATCGGGTAATGTCGATACCTAGCAACCTGTTGTCGTACAGTGCCGACGGCTCAGGTGGCACAACTGGACTTGCTGCGTCCAGGCTTGTCTCTCGGCGTCGATGACCGTGGGGCGATAGATAGGATTGCTCATCGGACGAGCCTGCAACGCTGGATTAGGGTTTGAAGGGTCAGTTAGGTATCTGGTTAGGAGGCAACGGTAGCGATGGGCACCAAAACGGGGTTTCTCAGCACGGTCAAGGCAGTCCAAGCCCATCTGAGCTTCAACATTTACAAAACCCAACTCACAGGGCCGGGCCGGTTTCTTCCCAACGAACCCTACTGGGACGCAGCAGGAACTCCAGATCGAGCTTGGTCGGCTGGACTGGTGCCCAGGCGGGATAGGCAAGGGGGTGTCTCATCATCAACTCGAATTCCAAGGAGGACTGGGTGGGTGGTAGGATGGCCCTGTTCAGGGCAACTTGCGACAGGCCGACGTCGTACCTCCGCAATGCAGAGACGGCCTCGGCTGGTTCGTGGCCAGTTCTCAGAAATCTTAGGGCCTCCAGTGCCTCGTCATCAGGCACGCGCTTCAGGATTTCGAGCAGGTCTGCGGCATCGGAATTGCTCAGGGCTTCCTCCTTGTCGACGAGTTGGCTTCCAGGGGGGATGGCTTTCAGGACAGTATCGGTGATGACTCTGTATTCGCACTTGAGCCCGCGGCGCAGGCATTGTGAACATTGGGGCTGGCCGTCACACTTCACGGAGCCAATCGTTAGTGGGGTGTGATCTGTGCTCACTATGTTTACGCACCACTGTCCATGGTTCATGGCCCTAGGCAGGGAGTTGGAACGGTTGCAGCTGTTTGAGTGCGAGGGAAGAGGAGGGGTGCTTCGGACTTGCTTACGGCATTCTTCTTCTCCCTGCAAAAGTTGCATGCTTTGGATGTGTAGGGTCGTCGTCTTTTACGCCCCTTGGAGCTACCCTCACCGCCATTCATGGCCTCCAGTTGGCGAGGGGGCGGCTGGGCAAGCCGAGGAAGAAGCGGTCGATTTCGTTGACTGTCTAGCGGCATTCGAAGATGAGGGTGATGTGTTGGGTCGTCGGTATGGCTTGAGTAGCTGATTGATGTACTATGTGCCCGCCTTTTTCGCTATTCGAACCCTGGCAGTAGCATGGATAAAACAGTCTCACAGACAGAAGAAGAGTTGGGGATTCTGAGCAAGCGTTTGCTGAAGCGAGGCTCGTCGGGTTGGAATTGGTAGTAGTGCGGCGCAAAGAAGAAATATATTTGAACTTGATGGTGGGGAAGGAAGGTCCTTGCCGGAGTGCACTCCTGCTTGTCGCCACATTCTATCCGGCTTATCGCCACAGTTTAGGTATGTACTCCGTACACTAGGTAGGTAGGTATCCGTAGTTTGGGAGTCTAGACCGTCCATGCGGACTTGATGCTCCACGCTCAACAATCCCATTAGCTGTATATCGCCGTTTCGAAGATATACCAAGCAGATATGTGATTGTACGGTGTATTCAATTATACTATGCACCTACTCTCAGTACCTTGCGCGGGTAGGAGGTAGGGTTGGGTAGGTATCTAGGTAGGTGCCTGGGTACCTTAGCATGCTACCTAGTGCAGGTACCACGGCTCCCACGACAGCCGCAAGACCCACCGGTCCCTATCTCCCACGCGCTTCCCCGCCTTGTACTTACTAACGGTGGTAAACCTACGTTACCTACCTACCTAGGTAAGTACTCGTAGGTTGTTTACTCTTCTCGTTTCACTCAACTACCTACGTAATTGGCACGCCTGCCTATCTATCTGTAATCATCGCTCGGGACAGCAGAGTCGTCGCGTCATATGTCTTTCTGTCTGTCTGTCTGTCTGTCTGTCTGTCTGTCTGTCTGTCTGCCTGTCTCTCTGACCAGCTGGCCAAGTGTGTTTGTTAGCCACGCGAAGGGGAGGCCATCCCAATTGAGCCGGCTTCGACGAGGACTCTACCGCGCATGCATATGTTTGCTAATCGACGCGTCAAAGCGGGTATGCCCGATTTCCTGAAGGAGCAGGTGTCATCGCACAAACTCGCCCAGAACCAGATTGCGCAGTCTTGGCAACCACCAAGACGTCCAGCAGCAGCATGGAGGGAGATAACCTTTGGCCAGGGAATAAACCGTCATGAAGCGCAAGAAAGCAGGTCCGTAGCACCCTCGTGCTCTGCTGCACGCATACTTATCCCATACCCAGCCTGCGCCGTCGTCGACCTTCCCTCTCTCTTCTCCTCTGGGTGATACTCGCCAGCTGCTGTCTGTGGCGTTTCTGGATATCAACGACCAACTACCACATCCTCGTTGCCGATATGCAGCTTCGAGAGGGAAACAATGCTTTCCTGGCCTTCCTGGCCGCCGCCTTCACGGCCCTCGCAGTCGGTCCAGCAGCCGCCGACTCGTGCAATCCCTTCACGCCCTTCGTGCCGATAGATCCCCAGAGCTGGGCGAACCCCGACAACATGACCTGGGATGAATGGGTGCAGCCACCAGGCACCAATTGGTCGGATCCCACCCGCAAGGGTTCTGTCCGCAACTTCAACATCGCCCTTGTTGTTGTCGACTACCCAGACAGACCCTTCATCGTCACCCAGCCGGCGCACTCGACCATCTTCAGCAATCCCCAGCCTGCAGGTGCCGACGTCGCCCGGGAAGACGTGCCCACTTTCTATCGCGATCTTCTCAATACCCCCAACGACCTGAACCGGGGCCACACTCTTCACGAGTACTGGATGGAGGACTCGGTCGGTCGCTTCGGCGTCGATCTGACGGCTTTCGGCGCTTATCGCCTGTCTGGCAACGGATACCAATATGGCATTGACAGCGGCATGAATCCTGGTGCATGCCCGGAGGGGGAGAGGTGCGGCCTGAACATCCGCACCGATGCCCTTGCGGCATGGCGCGCTGACGTGGGCAACGCGACTGCCGATGCCTTCGAGCTAGTCTTCATCCTCTCCGCTGGCCAGGACGAGTCCTCTACGTGGCAAGAGTTTGGCGAGATGAAGTTCAATGGCCCTGAGGATGTCCCGGACGAGTTTGGCCCTCCGAAATCCCGAAACAGCTCGCTGCCCAACTACGCGCGCACGCGCTATGTGCCTTGGACTTCGTGGGCGGCCGCTTCCACCCTTTGGCCCAACGCTGGTGGCGGCTCCTCCACACAGGGCGAAAGCTCGGGCATGGCCGTCTACGCTCACGAGCTGAGCCACTTGCTGGACATTGGCGACAACTACAATAACCCTTACGGCCTCCCGTTGCGCAGGGCCTTCACCGGCCCTTGGTCTATGATGTCGCGCGGCTCCTTCAACGGACCCGGTGGCCCGCATACACGCTGGCAGGTCCCGGCGCTGCAGGGCTCCTCGATGGGATCGCTACACACTCTGCGCGACAAGTTTCAGCTCGGATTGATCAATAAGACAGACATACTCTGGCTGTCTCGTGAGGCTTTGGCTACTTCCGGAATCGCCGTGGCCAATCTTGTGGCCCGCTCTGTCGACCCAGGCGACGGCTTGATGGGTGTCCGCGTCATCATGGACGCCGACCGATCCCCGGCGTGCAACGCCACGACAGAGGTTCTGTGCGACGGCGGGGGCTGGAACAACTACGACGTCGAAGTCGTCGACCGCATGGGTTCCGACTCGTTCCAGCCCGACTCTGGCGTCTTGATCAGCAAGTCCAAGAACGTCGATAACCAGCCCTTCCAGTGGGTCATTGACGCCAACCCCCAGGACATTGAACTTGTCGACTTCCACCGCCCCAACGGTTCCGTCGCCATGATCACCCTGGGCGACTACCGCCAGCTTGCCGATGCCCTCTTCCACGCGGGGCCGAACTCGGGCAGCGAGTTCGAGTTCGTCGACAAGCCCAACAGCCTGCACTTCTACATCATCGACCGCCACCGCGACGACCAAGGGGTTCTTTCGTACACGGTCGCTGTCAGGTCACTCGAGGGCGAAGGCGGCGCGAGCATCCACGACGTGTCTATGGGAGACGGGGCTGTGACTGACCTCAAGAGCAACACGCCCACCGGCCAAGGAGTGACCTGCTCGTTCCAGCTTACCAACAGCGGCTCCCACGTAACCGTCGACCCGGACGTGGCTCAGCACCCCGAGGATGTGTCGGCCTTCTTGAACTCGGACGTCTACAGGCTGAGCGCCGAGGTCGAGGGCGCCGGCTGGCGCGTGGAGCTGCCCAACGCCCTCGTCGCGGCCAAGTTTGGCGAGATCAAGACGGCTAGGGTTTTCGTCGGGGCTGCATCAGAAGCGGTGGACTCGGCCGTGGTGACGTTGAAGGCGACATCCGAGTCCGATCCGTCCGTGGTTGCTTCTGCCCAGTGCCGAGTGGCCAAGTCATGATGGCTTATCGCGCTCCTTCCTCAATGATACATATTTCCTACAGTGATAGAAACGCATACATACATAGGTCGACATCTGATGCACTGGATATGGTCTACCGTTTGTTACGCCGTTCCTGATCGGTCACTTCATCTGTTGCTGCTTACTGCATGTACCGCGAGCATGCACGGTTGGGCGCGACGGCTGCCGTGATAATGCAGTCCCGCAGCGGGGCGCTTAGGGTTGATGGATCAATCCCACGTCGCAGCCAACAAGAATCAATCACGATCAATGCGCCCAGATCGTCTAGTTGGTTAGGATGATACGTTGTGGTTCTTCTATACAGCGATCCGTGTTGACGGCGGTTCGAATCCGCCTCTGGGCATTGAATCTTTTGTCGTGGTTGTATGAGGTCTTTTTTGTTATCCGTATTTTAATTTTAATCCCATTGATTAAGCATGTCTCCGGTGATGTATCTCCAAGACTGCTCTCCTTTTGATTTCTTTGATTTACAGCCTATACTCAATTTCCCGACTTACATAATGAGTAATAGAGTTCACCAATAAATGATGATTGATTGGCGACTGGGCACTGGCCGACTAGGCTCTTGAATCTTGATCTCTCTTGATGATCGGTAGCAATTCCTCATGGGCCTACGCACCACAATCACTCAAACTGGCCATTGAGAGTCGGCCGCGCATGACGTGCTCATCCTCCAAGTCGCCTCATTTACGCCCGGCCGGAGACCGGCGGCGGCAACGGGGGTTCTCGCGTGCGATCCTCCGGGAATCAACTCCCACCAACCCGCCCTAGAACGCTTTCTCACGCTCTAAAGCACCAAACCACCTTGGCCGATCCTCAGGCAAACCGGTCATACATGAGGATCCCTCCCCGACCACAATGGCACCAGGCAGCGGCAGCTTCACCGCGATCCCCACCATTGACCTCTCCCTCGCCGACGACCCCGCGTCGGAGGCCGGGCTCCTCGAGCAGCTCCGCCACGCGCTCGTCCACGTCGGCTTCCTCTACGTCGTGAACCACGGCGTGCGCAAGGCAACCGTCTCGGCCGTCGTCGAGGCCCTGCCGAGGCTGTTCGCTCTGCCGGCGGCGGCGAAACAAGAGATCGCGCTAGAGAACTCCCCGCACTTCCTGGGGTACAGCGGAGACGGCGCCGAAACGACGGCGGGGGCGGTCGACCGCAGGGAGCAGGTCGAGTTCGCGACGCAGCTCACGGACCAGTGGCGCCCGGGGCTGCCGTTGCGGGAGCGCCTGAGGGGCCCGAACCAGGTCAGATTCGCCATCACACCCCCCCCTTTCTCACCCCCTTTCACGTCCGACAACAACCATCTCATTCATCATAGTGGCCGTCAGCGTACCCGAATCTCCGCCCGATCGTCGAGGCATACATATCGGAGATGACGCTCCTGGGCGAGCGCTTCCTCCGTCTGGTGGCGAAGGCGCTCTCGCTCCCGCCCGAGACCTTCCTCCCCTTCCTCTCGGACCAGCACCGCCTCAAGCTCGTGCGCTACCCCGCCCTACCCCCGGATCTCGATACGGCGAGCGGCGGCAGCCAGGGCGTCGGCCCGCACAAGGACTCGTCGGGGTGGTGGACGTTCCTGCTGCAGGCTTCCCCCCCGCACGTCGGGGGGCTGCAGGCCCTGAACAGGGACGGCGGGTGGGTCGACGTGCCCGCGCTGCCGGGTTCGTTCGTCGTAAATATAGGGCAGGCGTTTGAGGTGGTGACGAGCGGGGTGTGCAGAGCCACGACGCACCGCGTGCTCTCCGGCCCGCTGGAGCGGTTCAGCGTCCCGTTCTTCCAGGGCGTGAGGCGGGACCTGACAAAGGACGAGGCGGCGGGCTCATTCTGGGGGCATTCCAGCAGGCCCGAGATCCGGGAGCTGGCGGCGGCGGCGGCGGCGGAGTCGGCCGAGGGGAGGGGCGTGGACTCGGCCTTTCTTCAGGGGAAGTATGATACCTGGGGCGAGAGCCAGCTCAGGACGAATATCAGGAGCCACAGAGACGTGGGGAAGAAGTTCTATCCCGAGGTCTTTGATCAGTATGTCAACGACGATCAGTAGCGTGTTGAAACCCGCACCGCCGCGAAAAGCTTTCCCTGGACGAGGAGCGTGCTGTGTCGTGTACCTGCTGATGAAACCATCTTTGTTGAATGAGAAGCATCTAATCAAGACTGCCCGTGACTTGGAAGACGACAACCATGCTCTTAAGGCTCTTGAATCACAGCCCGGATTTGAAAGAGTTGCTGTCATTGTCGACTTTCCGGGCTCCAAATATATAGCCAGTCTAATAGCCAGGGGTGCCAGCGGAACCACATAGCGACAAACCAGCCGACCAGAAGAAACATAACTTCACATTCCCTTCCAGTTTCAAGTATAATGACACCAGCCATTTCGCCTGTAGATTCGCAATCAATCAGGTGAGTTGGACAAGACAGCATTGTTGATTCAGTATACTAAGTTTGCGGATTTGCCTCGATGCAGTCGGGATTTGTGTGTCCAGAAGAGGTGTTCGGAGATGACCAACCATAAAAGCCTCCAAGAATGGCTTCGTCCACTCTGCCCAAGTGACGGCATTGCGGAAAAGCCTGGTTCCAATATGATGTAAGAGCATGCCCCAATATGCATGCAGAAACTGATGTCTTGGCTGTGACCAGAATTTGTGGACATACTGATAGGCAACCAGTGGATGTGACGTTCAAGAATGAAGACGCGCTGCTGTAAGTCCTGGCGGCCATGGAAGCTCCATAGGATGTTATGTATCGATTACTGGAAGGCCAATGATAGATAGCTATTCTCTATCGGCGCCGGTCCCCGTATTTTAACTCCAGTTCAGGCGTTCCTATGCTCTTGAAGCATGAACACCAGAATAGGCCAGATTGCACACCGTAAGTTCAAGCTTCCTTTAAAGTGGCACAATCTTATCATCATTAGTTTAGCTAATGTGGAAGATTAGAGATTCTGTTTAGATTGCCGCGAGCTCACAATGAACATTGGACGACGGGTATCTTCTTTGACTCATAGCGACGCAATGTCAATGTCTTCATACACGGGATGCACGACGAGGGAAGAGCGGCGGGCGTTTTTGATGCAACTAAAGTCCGTTACTTGAATTCGTGCTTGGCAGCACGTTCCATTCTGACCTCTCTTCCCTCGTTCTATTACAGGTTCCATGGAGCGCAGATAAAGAAGCTCAGTCCAGCTTCGAGGAAATGATGTGGGCGCTGAACCGCCCTACTTCCAGTCTTCCGACACATGAAGCGCGGATCGAAGCCAAAGTCCTGCTCTCGAAGCGGATATTTGACATATTGACAACCATGGAGAAGTCCCACCTGGTTGATGTGAAGGGGGAAGCGATTGATGACCTACAGGATAAGTAGACCAAAGAGATGCAGGTCACGACGGACCATCTTACGAGAAATCGGAATCCGAGACCAACCTGGAACCTCTAATTCGTCGTCAAACTCCGAGTTTGCGTGACCCGCTACCGCTACAGGCAGTAAACGGCAAGTCCCAAGCGAGCCATGCAAGATAATATCATCAGTGCATTCATTCATGTAAGGGTATATGGAAACGGAAATTGAGCGGACCTAGAGATTTTCCACCTTATACCTTTTAGTATTCCTTACCACATTTCAATCATGATATTCACATTTAATCATCAAGATAAGACAGATGGAGACATTCTTCCTACCGCATGTTGGCGACTGACTGATTAGCACGCATGTTGACTGTGTCCCAAAACTTGTGGCAGTTTGAGCCGCAGTTGTTCAAGTCGCCCACGGCCAAGCTACTGCACCGTCCAGGGTCGTTGACAGGGGCCGTAAGGTTGTCATTACCGCTGACCCTATGAGACACATGGACGGTCACCGCTCAAGCATTAGTTTGGTGGCGACGGATAGCTACTTAATGCAAAGCTGCACACCCGAATCTTTAAACGTCGCCATACTGACCTAAGTCGTATATTCAAGCTTGCCCTGCTTCTCTCCACGCAGTTCTGTTCCTGCCGAAGATAAAGTTATGAACGTTCTTCCGAACCTCAAAGCTGCGGCTGTGTTGGCACTTATCTCAAGCCAATGCCGACTGTCTGTTGCTACACCTGTAACTGCCAGATTTGCGGCACGCAATGCGACGGATCTCCAGAGCTCCTATGATTATATCATTGTCGGCGGAGGTTTGAGTGGCTTGGTCGTGGCAAACCGTCTGACTGAAGATTTCGAAAGTACAACAGCACCTATTCCTCTATCCCATGCCCCATGCTAAGTCTCTAAAGCCACCGTCTTGGTTGTGGAATATGGTGATTTCGATGATTCGTGGGATGTGGCTATTGCTTACTACTCCGCCAATACCCACCCCAATGACATGATTCGCTTTACGTCTATGCCGCAACCTGGGCTCAACAACAGAATCTCCAGCGTCGCGACCGGTACGGCTGTCGGAGGTGGAACTACCGTCAACGGCATGGCTTTTGGTCGTGGATCCAAGGCCGATTACGATGCGTGGGAGGAGCTGGGGAATCCAGTTTGGAATTGGGAAAGTCTGTTCCACTACTTCAAGAAGGTAATGTGGTCTTGAGTTCCTAATTCACAGCATACGCCGTTGATAGCTAACGACATGACAATAGTCAACTACATTTACCCTCCCTGCACCGGAATACGTCCAGAAATATAATTACAGCTACGATGAGAGTACATATCGCAACGGACCCGTTCAAGTCGGCTTCCCTTCATGGCAATGGCCTGACAGAGGTAAAACCCCCAAAGTGTGGTCTACGTGTAGTTTGGAGGAGAATTCGGAGCTGACCAATCCCAGATATGCAGAAGGAGGCATGGATTAAGGACCTTGGGGTCTCTGTGCTCGATGATCATGGTGCTGGCGGTAACAACGTCGGCTTGGCGCTGTTGCCCCAGAACCACGACCCTAAAAATGTTACCCGTTCTACATCGAGAACCGCGTACTACGATCCCGTTGCAGTGACTCGTCAAAATCTCAAGTTGCTCATTAAGCACTAGGCGTCGAACATTGAGTTCGAGAACAAGAAAGCCGTCGGCGTCAACATCATCTCTCGCGATACCAATGCCACGACCCTGTTCAAGGCAAACAAGGAGGTCATCCTCGCCGCCGGAGGCGTACAAACGCCAAGGATTCTTCTCCAAAGTGGTGTCGGGCCGGAGTCGCTTCTCGAGTCTCTGGACATCGACGTAGTTGCAGATCTCTCCGGGGTCGGCGCCAGTTATCAGGATCACCCTTGGTTGTTATTTTCTTACAAATGTAGGTCCATTTCCAACATTGTTTCTCATTCTTTGGAAGACCTTCCACTGACGTCTTCAAGTCGGCAACCCCCCTGAGCTCGGCGATCGGGCCATGAACGATCCTGCTTTCTTTAACGCATCAGAGGCCGAGTACTTTGCCAATCGAACCGGCCCGTTCACCCATGCTCGTGGCAACAACATTGTTTTCATGTCACTCCACGACATCACGCCTGAGTACGAGAGCTTGACGGCTGCTGCAGAGGCCCAGGACGCAAAGGAATTCCTACCCGAGGTCTACTCTGAGCACTCTGAACTACTTGATGGATTTCTCGCCCAGCGCAAAACGCTTGCTAAGCTCTACCGTAATCCCGAGGCAGGCGTTCTGGAGATTTCGTTCGGAGGCTTTTCGGCTGGCGCCCTTTCCTTCCAAAAGTCTCTATCCCGTGGGACTGTTGCAATCAACACAACCAACCCTGACCCGGCTGTGCCTCCAGTCATCGACTTTGGCGTGCTTCAAAACCCCATCGACCTGGACGTTGCCATACTCAGCGTCAAGACGTTCCGCAAGTTTTGGAATAGCCCTACCCTTGCCGTACGCGAGGCGGTTGAAGTTGTACCTGAGAACAACATTACTTCGGTAGAGGCTATTTCAGAAGCCATTCGAAACTCTCTATATGCTAGCCTTGCACACCCTAGCGGGACGGCGAGCATGCAGCCGCTGGAGCATGGCGGTGTCGTCGACCCCAGCCTTCGCGTCTACGGGGTCGAGGGCCTGAGAATTGTCGACTCCAGTATCATTCCTTTGATTCCGGCGTGTCATTTGCAATCAACTATGTACGCTGTTGCAGAGAAGGCTGCAGATATTCTTAAGGGCTCTTGAACATGTCAAGCAGCCAATTTTGTGTCCCACAGGTATATTAGTTGAGCTCAAAATCAGAGGCTTGTGGCATGTCCTTGTGTCGGAGTTGATGACACACATTCTGTCTCAGTCGTTGTTATAGCAGTATTGGCAGGTTTGAGTAATATAAAGCCTTTAATTTTTCGTTGCAGTAGAATAATTTACATGAGGCTCACTTCGGGTAGTTTCGCAACTCGCTTTGGGGCGGGATTTTATGTTTGAAGAGCAATCAACGGACGGTCCTTTGGTCGTCTATGAATGCTGCGGAGGGGATCTTGCGGAGTTATTGCGTTCCGCGAGGTTCAGCGCTACAAAAACGAAAACAAAAGCAAAACCGTGACGCAAGGTTCAATCCTGATTGCATCAGAAGCCAGAAGATGGCGGAGTCGCGGAGTTTGGCACTTTGCGCGTTAGTCTACATAGAGGCATTTCCGCACAGAATCTTAGCCAACGCCGACCCTGGGGGGCGGTATTCCGGCAACTCTTGGCCCGCATACCGAGGGGTTCCACCAGTGCCAGCTACTGATGTCTGCAAGGAGCGTGAAGCTAGCACGAAATATCTGCTGTTCTTGACATGTGTATAGTGTTCTGTTCGAGATATAAAGCCTGCTTGAGCCCGCGGCGTTTCCATAAGACATGTTTTCAAACCACCATCCTCGGACAATCTCAAAGCGTAACACACCGGACAGATTTTAGCGCTTTCATCGGTTTATCACCAAACTTGATCTTTTGAACCTATCAAAATGGTAAAGATCGCCATTGCAGGAGCTTCTGGCAGTGGGTTATATCTTTTCATTGTTTCGTATCTGTCGAATGCCTTACTGATCATGAGTGCCGCGTAGAGCTTGCCCTCGAGGTCATCGACAGATTGTCGAAAACCGAGAAGCATGAAATTCTTGGCCTAGTCAGAAAGGTAAGGAACGGCCCAGTTTCCTTCTACGGACATCCTGGAATCAATTGTAGTTGTTCGAGGCCGTGTTATCTGACGGACACCTAGGACCCTTCTTCGTTGCCCACATTCCCAGGAGCTACATGGATCCAGACTCCTTATGAAGATAAGGCAGCATTGACGAGAATTCTCACCGGCACCCAAACAGTGATCTCTTTCATTGTCGCCCATACGGACCCTGGCGCGGCGACGGCAAAGCGCTTGATTGCCGCATCGATTGAGGCAGGAGTCAAGCGGTTCGCTCCGAGCGAATGGGCAACGTGAGCATCAAATCCACGCGGTTTTCTGCCAAACCATTGTAAAACGACTGCTAAGTTGACTGAAGGGGCACCAAGTTGGACGAGGTGATCAACTATACGCCGTGGTATGCCAACAAGTTGGAGGTCAAGCGCTATCTTGAGGAAGTCAACAAGAACAAAAAGGTGATTGAGAGGAGTAAGGAGCTATGACTATGTCTGACGTGGTGACAGGTCATCGAGTACACTTTGTTCCAGCCTGGCGCATTTATGAACTTCCTAGCGTACCCTCATCAGACGGCCAAATATTACCGAGTCGACTTCCCGGCACTTTTCGACTTCTCCAAAGGCTGTGGGTATATTCTGGAAGGCTCTGAAACCTCGAAGATTACCTTTACCACCATTGAAGACATTGCGGAAGTGACCGCCCGAGCGGTTGAGTTCGACGGGGAATGGCCCATCGTTGGGGGTATCACCGGCCAAACAATCACTATCGGGGAGATCTTGCAGTTGGGAGAGAGGATTCGAGGCAAGTTAGATTCCAGATTATCCGCAAACATTCGGTCTGCTAACTAAATACCAAAGGTAAACCCTTCGAGGTGGACAGATTGAAGCTCGAGGACCTTGAAGCTGGAATTATCAAGACAAACTTTGTCGCCCCGCTAGATCTACCTGGCATGTCGCCAGAAGAACTTGCGAATTTCACAAAGGTGGTTACAATTGGAGCCACTGTATCGATAGCAAAGGGGGCATGGGCGGTATCTGACGAGTGGAATCAGCTGCTCCCTGACTTCAAGCCTATGGGCATAGAGCAGTACGTGAAAACCGTCTGGGGGGGCAAATGACACTTTCACGGGATGTGGAATACCTCAAGATGAGGCTTTACTTTCTTCCGTGTGTTCAGATGATAGATATTTTCGCATTGTCATTTGTGAGTCAAGCTCGATAAGGTAGTCAAATTTCCAAATGCAATCATTACATATAGCAAAGCCTCGATGTTCAGCATTCCGCCAATCCCTGGATGTACATATAGGTTGTTCAGTCTTCAGCACCGCCATTGCACATAGTCACACAGAGAAAAGTGCTATTTGACGGGATGAGTGATATACCGAAGGAATTGCTTCACCTTTTCTGAATCTGGACCTTCATAATGGACTCGAAACTGGTTAGATCATGATATCAGGCTTACGGGTCTCAATTGTACTACTTGGGCCTTCTCTTAAGTCAAGGCCGCTTGCGAGGAGGGATGACCAGGTAACTCAAGTCTTTAAGTCGGGTATGACCGCTGATAATCAGCCCTGGTCGTATCTCTCTAGATTGGGTGCTGTAGAGCCGATGCCGAATAGTAGCAAATGGGATGCCCCAGTCACGAATGCTAGGAGCTACATCAACAAGAGTCCGTTGAAGCTCTGATTCAGTATGCTGGTTTATATCGCAACGAATGACTTATCCTCCAAGACATGTCGTTATTTGGCAAAAAAGTAAAGATACTGTGATAGAGTAAAAGGAATATGTTAGATGACGAGGCATTTCAAATTTTCTGGTGGTTAGGATGTATTGGTGATTCAAATGTGGGGTGGGTGTATATGCTTCCAAGGTTAGCAATCATAGGTGCTGGAGGTAATATCAAACTGTTAAATGTGTTGATGGGCACTATTGTCCCTTTTGTATTGGATGTGTTATAGCCGTATATACAGTACGTGAATGCTACAGATTAGTAGGTCTAACACCACCTAACCCATCCTAAAGTCATTACAGGTAGATGGTTACATACTTAGATTTGTCACCACATGGGTTATTAGATTGCAGTTCGTTCTATATCAACAACACAAGTTTTAATCGTGTTGAATCTTTAAGATTACTAAATTATAGACCTGAATGTCGCAGCCCGCAGGTAGTCGATTTCCTCAATCATCAATGGCGCCGCCCTGTCCCAAAATTCAATAACACCTTGACCCCAACCCTGACCCCAGGCAACCGTACCAAATGACTAGATATACAAGGATGCAACATTGTTAGAGATCCAGTCCGAGCTGGTCTTCCTAAAGTCGTCCTTCAGGCTACCGGCCTTGTCCGCGAAGAACTGAACCAAGTTCTGACCTTGAGACCACATCGGCCAGTTGGGGTAGTTCCCGTTGTTACCAACATTGGGGTCCAAGTCATACAGAAAGTTGGTGTAGTAGGTCCGGATGCTTCGGGCGGCATAGTTATCTTCGATTCCGTTAAACACCTGAAGTATATCAGATGCGTGGAAAGTGCCGAGGATCGGGGTCCCGTAGTCGTAAGAGGCGAGGTAAGACCACGAAGGCACCTCGGGGTGCACAGCGTTGGCCATGTTGAGAAAGACGCGACGAGTCAGTGTGAAGACCAGGTCGCCGAGAATGGCAGATCGTTTCTTGAAGCCGGGGAAGACCTCGTTGAGGATACCAGTGCGGAACGGACTGCCGCTGATGAGGGCGTTCAGGCCTTCGTCGTAGGTTGCAACGTACTCGCTGAGCTGGGCCTCGGTGGCTGAGTTAAAGTAGTAGTCGCTAAGGTACGTCACAAGCTTATCGGAGGAGGTCAGGTTGGGTTGGAACAGGCCAAAGAGCGTGCCTTCGTCTTCCTGATCGCCGATGATCATCGGGACTGCCGCGTACTGGCCGTTCTGGATCAGAACATCAGGACTCGCCGTGAGAGTCTTGCCGTCCGGGCGGGGCAAGTATGACAGAGCGAGAGAGTTGTATGAGAGGATGCCAGGTACGGATGTCACGGCGTTGAGAAACGTGTTGTAGTCGACGCCGCGCAAGCAGTTGAGCGTGTCTGCCTGGCCGCTGCATCCTGCAGTCGCCACAACCTTGTCGTATACGGCCTGGCCCTTGGGGCAGTCGACAGGGTCTGAAGGGATAATGCTACCAGAGTTCATGATGGCGCCACGGAAGAGAGCCTGTCCCTTGTACGTGTTATTGCCGTTGTACAGAGCCATCTGATCCAAGACCGAGATGGAACCTGCAGACTCGCCCCAAATGGTAACCTTGGTCGGGTCACCGCCAAAGGCGGCGATATTGTCGGCAACCCACTCGAGGCCCATGCGCTGGTCGAGAAGGCCCAAATTGCCGGAGCCGTCTGCGAGGATTTCCTTGCCGGGCATAAAGCCGAAGCCGGCGACACGGTAGTTCACTGCAACAAAGACGAATGGCTTGCCAATAGCGACGCCGTGCTGAACAAGGCTGGTGCCATCGTACATGGAGGACCATCCGAGCTATTAGACGACGTCAGCAACCAAGACGGGCGCGGGACTCGAGTCGAAGGAACCTACCTCAAATCCACCTCCAAAGATCCAGTAGAGAACAGGCAGCTTCGCATCTGCCTTGGTACCCTGCGGACGAGCCACCGTAATCGTGAGACAGTCCTCAGTCTGGCCTGACACCGTCTGGACGAAAGGAAGGTTCGCAATATTTCCCAGAATTCCGATGAGACTGTTCGTGGCATCGGAAGAGGCGAACATCTGCGGGCAAGCGGCCGCGGGGCCGGTGGCGTCAAAGGTGCCGATGTTCTCGGTCAGGCGCACGGGGGGCTTCAAGCGGAGCTGGCCGGTAGGCGGCTTGGCGAAAGGAATGCCGCCGAAGGACTCGACATTGTTCATCACGTTGCCGATAACCGTGGCCGTGTCAAGAACAACCGTCGCTGTGCTCACAGCCCTGTCTTCCAAGGGCTGGGAGTTCTCCGGAACAGCCCAGGCGGTCCCGAGAAGGGAGATGGACGAGAGAAGCGTGAGCAGCTGCATGATGGCGACGAACAACAGCCTTCAAGAATCCAGAGTGATTGACAATTTCCAACCCTCTACGGGTTCTAGGACTGAAGGAAGAAAGTGGTTGGATGTGAGCCGTAGCATGCACCCCGTTGATGAGCTTGGCTGAAGACGATCCCGACAAACTGCCTTGGATACCTCGACTGGAGCGAGGACCATGCAGGAGAGGACTTACATGATGTATTTAACCACAAGTTTGCAACGAGGGCCGAGCTGTTGGCATTCACCTCTAGATTCAACAATTGGCAATTTTTGCCTAGAAAGGAAAGACTAGCGGGCAATTAGCGACCCACCGCCAGTTTGTGCACCCTTGCCGGTATTCCAGTTGAATGGGTGGCCCGGACCTGGCTGGGTCTGAGTCCGAATAGGCGCGGCTTGACCTTTGGGAAACCAGAGCAGTAGTAGGTAGCTCGACCCCGCCGCCTGAGTCGTGGTCGTCATTAGTCCAGTGGGTATCGAGGTCGCATGAACTTGACTTCAGCGAGCCGCGAATGCAACATTCCCCGTGGGGTAGCGGGGTTTTTCGCCGGGAGTGAAAAGATGTGTTTGGTTCGCCGTTGTGGTACACCGAGTAATAGAGGCACCCTTGTTGACGCAAGTCCAGGTCAACATTCACATGGAAATATGCAGAGTCAGCTGGGCATCCCTTGGAGCTTCACCTCGGTACGTCTGGCGACAGAAATATGTCGCATTGCCAGCCACGCAGAGGTATGGAAGCGCATGGGGGACGAGCGGGGGGAGAGAGAGGTCTAGTGGAGGGGCGGCGTAGGATCTTGACTTGATATCGCAGGTGACACCAAGACTAACCATCAGGAACCAGGAACTTCGTCCCAATGGGGTATCAATATTCCTCTGATCTTGGACCTGAGGGTGTGAGTGCTGCAGTCTGTCCGGTCATCTAGTTTGTCCGGCTGGCATAAGCGCCCCAGACTGCTGCGCGATAAACAGTGACAGGGCGGCAGGCCAAGCTATGCGCCTTCAATAGTGCGGGCAGGATTTCGTGACTAACTCTGGGGTGTGTGAATTAATTAAAAGGAGCAACCTTTAATCATTTCTCTCTCTCTCTCTGTCTCTCTCTTGGGGATGTTTAAGGAAACATTTGCAAACATGTATACGTGTAGAAAAAGGTATCCACATGCAAAAGAAGGTCGTCTGACGTAGATCATGGCCCCAGATCCCTGCACCGGCACTGACAACAGCCATCCACGAGACACGGTTCTTTCGGGTGTCCTGTCCTACCACGGCAATGGCTCCGAGATGCGTGGGGCCCTGGATTGAGATACATGTAACTACGAAAGCATCGCAACCATTTTGGATGGCGCCGCAGACCTCTCACATTCGACCGGCATGCAAAAAAACAAAAGAAGCTCAGCAAACCCCGTTGATGCCGGGCATCCGCGAATGATGAGGGGCTTATTCCACCAGTAGCTTGGCTCGAAAGGAACGGTTTTCCCGCCTCGTGTACACATGATAGGGTGGCACAAACATGACACTAGCACCTTGGCAGAGTGTCTTTAGTACGAATCCGGTTCCACACCTAGCCCGCAAGGGAGAATACTTCAGAGCTAGAGGAACACGGCGAATAGACGTAAAGTTTTGGAAAAGAAGAAACGGCTTTAAGATCAATAAGCACAGATATAGACACACAGAAGCTAGCAACGGGCGCCAGCCTAGGCTTCGGCTGGCTTCGGGCTTGAACAAGCTAATGCGCATGCCACATGTTAGGCAGAGTCAGCTTCCGTAGTGCTTCGGGCCGTATTTGGCTTGCAGCTCGCGCTGGACGTTGAACTTGAACGGATGCCTCGGGTATCACAAGTGAACTATTTCCCTTCCCCCGCGATGTCAACGGTTCAGGGTGCGCGCATATCTTGCCAAAGCCTTAGAGCTATATTCAGGATGCACATGAATGTCTGTCTGATGGTGGAAGTTGACAGAGTTCCGTTGTGCATACAGTAAACCCCTCCAACCCGTCGTGTGTGTAAGTTAGTAAAGTGGGAATTCCTTCGGGAAAGACGCAATCGCGCTCTTGGCCTTTTACCGCCCAACACCGTGTTACCTACACATTAGTAACGCATCAAGTATGCCATGTGTCGAATATTCGATTGCGGGGGACCTCCAAATGCCGGCCTCCCCTGCATTGTGGGTCGACATGCTTGCAAGATCTATCGCGGGCTCCCTCTGCAGAAATTTACTACCTATCCGCTGGCTCGAGCTACTTTCCCCCACAAACCGAGCTTCCCATGGCCGCCCCAGGATCCCCCAGACCTTCTCATTTCTCTTCGATCTCAGGCCGAGCTAAGAAAAGCTCGAATACGAGCGAGAAGTTGCACCGGACTGTTGGCCAAGGCAGTATAGCCAAGAATAGATCGCCTTGATTGGCAGAAAGGGCATTGACCTGATGATAGGTGAATCCAACGATCAGACTAAAGCTACATGCGGTGGCTGTCCATGCGCTCCCAGACTAGCTCCGGCTGCTACATAATAGACTTTCGGACTGTGTTCAGATATTCGGGAGTCCGAGCACAATTAAGCGACTTGTTAGTTTTCGACTGCCGCCGTGAATCTTGATTGGAGAATTGACCTCGGCCAGCAGAGGGGGCGCGGGATAACATTGATTTGGCAGTCCCTTGGGGAAAATATATTGTTAATCCTCACCTGATGTGAACTGATGTAACGAGTTGACTGGCTGTCCCAGCAATTGGTCACTTACAATGACTCAGGAAAACGCTGCCTCCCTGCAAAAAGGCCCAGTGCGGGCTTGTTTCCCACGTTACGCGTTCACTTGATGTTACTCTACCAATCAATTGAGACTGTAAGAGTGAGAATGATGGACATTCAACACAGCAAGTCTCATTGCGAAGAGTGATAGTGATATTGAACGATGTAACATGTGCTCCTGCAGTCCGAGGAGTACCTGACTCGACATATTTGGAAAAGCGGCATTGATGACAGTGGTCGTCTGGTTGACATATGCCAATGTACGGAGTACTGTATTATCCGCTAACATTGCGATGAAGTCCATGCGGACCCGGTTTACCCAATGCCAATGGCATGGCAAGAAATCCGCGCAGGCTTGCAACTAGGATGGTCATTAACCAAATTACGATGTACAAGCGCGTGGGACATGCACTTTGATAGGTAGTGATAATCTCGGTGTCTACAAACATTGCCCAGTTCAGCAATGGTTGCGGACTTCAGCTGAGTATACGGCCCGACTCCAACCCACTCGTATAGACCATAGACACGCTAACTGGAGTGGCCCACCCGCTCTAGTACTCCGTTCGCTACATAGTACATGTACTTCGCTGTTGGCACCAAAGGCGCATGTGGGGGGAAATCCCGACCAAGTGGTGTTACTGGAAAATGTGAGACTTTCAGCTGAGAGTATCCGTAACAAAGCGTGAAAGCCTGGGAGGTTTACCCATTACTCCACTCGGCTAAGGTTCGCTTGCAGGGTTCACAAATGAGACAAAGGATGCTCAACATACTGACCGATACATGTCCCAGTTCAGTTCAGCTCTGCTCAATAATTTTAGGTGGGGGTTTGGGCCGCTCCCAAGGCGATGGACGTTTGAGAGGCAATACTACTATGATGATTGGCAACCTGCCCAAGTCTAATGTAAACTCTACACCGGACTTATTGGAGTCGAACCATGCCAAAGCTCCCCCTTCCAAGATTTTGAACGCAACATGCATGTCTCAGGATCATAGCCATAACAACTCACACGTGCTTCCTCGGTTTTGGAAATGGAGTAGCTCGAAATGGCCCATCTTTCATTTCATGGGTTGAAGCAATCGCAACATCATGTGAGTGCAATTATACGGACCTTGGATTGTCTGCAGTACACAAAGATTGAGAATAGTAGAGCATATTAACGAGAAGAGAGATGAGGCTTGACACTTTGTTACATATTCAATGCAACATCAGTCCATTAGACCAGCCACCAGCCCTCCACTTCCTTATACGGGGTATACTTACACACTGTTCTACGCGTCGGTTTCTAGCGCTAGAATCTCACCCCAAAAATCAGACAGAGGGCTCTTGAGCAAAGAGCAGTCTGTTATCATGACGTTATGTCGCTCAGGTGCAGCCAAATCACCCGCCGCCTTAAGGCGGTATGAGAAGCGTGAGCAAGGTATGCAGGGTGAATTGGCAAGGGACTTCAACTCTCAAACTACGGTCTGCTAATGTCTGTTAATGTCTGTTGCCAGGAAGATGCTTAAAGATAGTAGTCGGACAGTACACGCTAGCTTGGTGGCTTAGGGTTATTCACTTTAAAGATTTAGAAGCACATTTTTAGCTATATACAAGAGTCATCTGCTATAGCCCTTGAATAATAGACCTCTAGAGAAGTATCCAGATAGCCTTACCTCCTTCTTGGTGTCATGATAAGTTTAAATTGGCTGGCATGATACTCATGAGACATCCCAAAAGTGCCCCTATGGCAACTAGATCGACCCGTATGACATCTTTACTGTCTACTACACATTAGAGACGAGACAGGCTTATTCAATGTGTTACAGTCAACCTACGACATCATCCCAGGCTGGGTCGAGTTCGGTGAGAAGGTCAACCAGGTGACGTGCACCGACAGCGTGGCGACCTGTACGCGCACCAAGTATGTCTACAAGGGTTGCCTGTTACCTGCAGACAGCATTATGGTGGCGAACCCCAAAGACATCATCAGTCAGGCTTCTCCGGGCTCTAACAAACTTCGCTTCACCCTCGCGAGCATGTTGTTCCAGATGAAACTCAGCATCTGGGACAGCGTCAACGATGAAGTCATATCGCTGATCAATATGCCTATGTCGCTCACCCAAGAGGCAGTCGAAAGCATGGAGCATGTCGCTGCTATTGGAGAAGAGCCGGCTAAAGAAGGGAAGAAAGAACTCATATTGACGATCTTAAGCGTTATGTTCCTCGTCATTGCGTTCGCTGGCGAGACCCTCGGTACCAGACTGGATGCGACAATCGAGGTGTTTAGGCGGATCATCGATCTCATTACCACTAATACAAACACCGCTTTAGCATTTACGACATTACAAAATAGCCGACCTCTCCGCCGATGGAGATAATGGGACTCTCAATGACAGGTGGTCTAGGGCGTGACTCCTCTGAAATGGGCAAACTGGCTAAGGCTAAACGGGATATAGATGAAGCCAACCTCAGCAAGATTGGAACCATCTTCAAGAAGAAGGCTGATGTTATCCAGAACATCATTCACAAGCACAGCAACCAGTCGGTTCATTAACACCCCTCAGATGTTTAGTTGACTGGAGGGCTAGGAAACCGGCAAATACCTAAGCGTTTATAATGTTGACCAGGTTTCACTAGGCTTTTCAATAATAGCCAATTCACTTTTGAGTTGGATTTCATACTCGATCTACCATGTTACCACTGTTTCTTAGATATTCTTGTACAGAGAGGGGGCGAGGAAACGAACCAATCTGCATTGAGTCAGATAAAAGTCAACTTCATGTGTTTGCTGGGTATTCCTAGCATACTAAGCAAATCTGGGACCATAGCGTGAGATTGGTCGTCTTCAAAAATAGCCCAATTAATATTTTGACATGGGAACCCAAAGAATTTCATTTCAACCTATTGACTCTAAGCTGCGCAACTTTTGGTTATGCACACCCGCCTGCGCTGAGTCTCCTTCCACAGAACGTCAGTACAGGTTGTAAGTCAAAGCACCCACTTTCCGATCACCCCCACATTACGATCATGTATATCCACCCCTAGCCACCACTAACCACCTTATATATATTATTACTACTTTTATAGTCTATATCTAAATAACTTTATTTTTTTATAATATGTTCTTTATTACCTTATAGTTAAATATACTAAATCTAATATTACTTAGGCAGTAGATGCTATTACTACTGGCAGCAGTATACGCTAAGTATCTAAGACTTATGGTATCCTTTTTACTACCCTCTAGAACTGTCTATCTAGTACCTAAAAGAGGTTAGCTGCCTTTAAAGACCTCTAGCGACTATTAGCCACCTAGGAGGCTAATCTGGCCCTTTAGGTGACTACCTAGGCTAACCTTAGGCTGCTACTAACCTATTAATAACTAAAGGACTTTACCTATTACATCCTCTAAGCGATAGGGGATACCTAGCCTCTAGGTAAGAGGTAGGTAGATAGCTTTATTAGAAAAAACCTATCTATTAAGGTCTAAAGAAGTTAATCTATTAATTTAAGGTATATTAATAAGGTATCTATTAAGGTTATTAGGGACTAGTTTAAATATCTTATTATACCTTATATCTAAGGTATCTACCTAGCTAATAGATATAATATAGATAAGACTAGTATCCTTAAGGGTAAGAGAGATAATAGGCTAGTACTAGGTAGGGCTATAATAAAGGTAGTAAGAAAAAAGTAGCCTAAATTAAAAGCCTAGGTATTTATTATTAAGTGTATATTTACTAAAGGTAATACTATTTATCCTTTAGTTATATATAAAGGTAAGAAGGTTTAGTAGTAGTAGTTTTTTTTAGATCTTAATTTATATAATAAATAGGAATTTATAGTAATAAAAAATAAATAGACTACTAATAATATTACTATTAAATAGTTAGAAAAGGTTTTTTTTTTAGACTAAGCCTTCTTAACTTAATTAAGCTAGACTATTTATTTTAAATAAGTATAAAAACTATATAATAATAAATTTTATATAGTTATACTATACTAATAATATCTATTTATTATTTTTACTACTATATACTTTTTATATTTTCTAGCTACTTAACTAGTTAGTTTTTAGCCTTATTAAGGTAGTATATTAAAAAAAGCTTAAATATCTTAGTTAGTAAATTAACTTTACTATTATAAGTAAAAAAAACTTTATTTCTTACTATTAAAAAGCTTACCTAGCTAGGTTATTAAAAAGTAATATTAAAAGTAGCTAGAAATACACTAAGTTATAGCCTATTAGTATTATAAAGCTACTTATAAATAGGCTACTAGTTTAAAAGGTAAAAATAACACTATTAACACTATTAATACTACTTAATCTAGCTACTAGAGATATATTTATAGCCTAAGATACCTAAGGTATAAATAACTAGGTATTAGCCTTATTAGCAGTAAAGTAGTCTACACTAAGAAAGGTAAAGGACCTTAGGGCCTAACTATAGCTCTTTAGCTAGCTAGAACAAAATATTACTACTTAACGCTAACTATTTAAAAAGGTTAAAAAAGGCTTCTAAGAGTAGTTATATATACTAGCTGCTGCCTAGTAAAAAATCAGCCTTCTAGAAGCCTAGGTTACTAACAGTAAAGTAAGGAAACAGAAGGCTGTTTATATAGATCCTAACACAAAGTTTGCAACAATTAGAGAGGTGTAGCAAGCCTAGATAGAGGCTAGTGACGTTGAAAGTAATATAGATGAACCTAACTGTTAGTTAATCACTAAGAGGGATATCCCGTAGATCACGTAACAAATCGTAATACAGAATGTAGTGGTTGCTTGTTATATTAGTTAGTTACAATATGAATCCAGACTTTTAGGTGGTATACTGGTGGTAAGGTAGATACTGCCAAGGGAGGCGGTGTGTCACGTAAATATCACGTGACCACCTCCCTTAGAGCATACCTACCGTATACCAACACTAACGCATCTGATTTACCTAGTGAGGCTGAAAGTTGTATTATTATGGCATCTAGATAATGTTGGTAGTTAATTAAATAAAGTGGTGGTTGTCATGATGGCGATGTTTTTAGGTGATCGCAATGTGGGGGTGATCGGAAAGTGGGTGCTTTGACTTATCGCATTGTGCGCCGGATTGCATCAAGGTGCAATCGACCTGAACACTGTTACACCCTGCAAAGGCATGTTTGCGCAAGTTATGGTATGGACGCAAAAGGCTAAAAACTTGATCTTGATTAGTAGTTGCAAATATAGTATAGTGGCAAATATAGTACCAGAATAAAGATAAACAAACTTGATGATTATTTTAAAGCGCCTTTAATGATACTCAATGTTCGGTGATAGCCTTTTATCGCTTTGCACTTCTTCTGATGAAAGATCTATCCGGTACTTAACAGAACTCTTCCCGTCGCCTTGGACGGGGGTCACGGGGCTCATGATGAGCTTGGGAGGTCGCTTAAGCTCCCCAGATAATGAAGCCCCGCTCAAGGTATCCAGACCTCAACGCTCAATGACCAATAGTATCGATATCAGACCGAATCCCTTGTCCAAGGGAACTGTGTGAAGTAGTGCGATCATTCCAAGAATAGTTAGCAGTAGAATGGGTTGGGTGCCCGAGATCAGATAGAGCCATGGAGATTCCTGTAGTGGTGGTCGATTATAGACAATTGTCTGATCATCTTCATTAACGTCATAAAAAACAGCAGCCTCTCCGAATGAAATGGCGATATTTGCAATATTGTTCTCAACTTTAATGGCCGGGGAACTTATGTTGGATATTTCTGAGTCAAACATAACACGTCGCGATTGTACTTGTCTGTTTCTTGACCACAGCACCGTCGCCACAGAAACTGACAAGTATTGCATCGTCCAACGGGGCTGATTACCTCGGTCCTCGTCTGCGGCAGTTCCGCAGAATGTCTTCAGCATCTCTATCAAGAATCCCATATACCATGATGGAAGTGCTAGGTATTGCCACTGGATTATCTGCAGTTTGGCCCACGGCAGGATAGTGTCATCGCAAGAACCACTGAGAAGCCGGAAGCCCCCGCGGCCGACGGACCATGTGTCCATACATTGCTGACTGTAAATATTGTAGAGATGCTCACAGGGCGCACGATCTGTGCAGTTTGCACTCCCCGGTGCTATACCGATGTATTGCGATGATTGATCCGACTCATATATTTGATCTGCAAGAGAAAGAGACCAACTGTTCCATAAGTTTTTCTTTCTATGCCATCAGCTGTTGGTGTTCTCGACTGACGCGGCGCTGGCTTCATCAAGTAGTAGGATATTGTAGCCGTAAGGTTGAGGAACTGTTGGCAGTTGAGGTTCGATGCCATCCGCTGCTCGTTCAGTCGCATGCCGAAATGAAGCGGTCGCGTTGAGATTTGAGGAGATACCAGTCGATGGTATGATTCCCGGTGGTCTGAAAAGACCGTAGTAGTCGTAGCATAAGTCTGTCCCTAATCGGCCTCTAGGACGTTTAGTCATGCGGCTATTTGTCTGTCATATTGTATTCTCGAGTACGGATGCACCCAAATAGGAGTTCACTACGGAGTATTAATACGGAGTATTAATCATCCAGCTCTTGTTAGTGGCCGCAGCGCGGAGAAGGCTTGCCGCTAGCGCAGCATACCCAGTTGACCAAAACCCGCTTTTTTCCTCATGCTCCTACAAATCAGCAGCATGGGGATTCCAGAGTCTCCTGGCATGCTTGAAATCTCCCAAAAGGCCATTACCCATTTGTCTTTGTTAAATCGAACGCGCAAATTGTCTGACACTTAAAGTCTCTAGGGAAGAATCACGGCGGTGCTGACATAAGGCCATCCAAAGCAACTAGGATGAGTAATCAGTACGTACCGGTACTCCTTTGGACCCCTAATTACCCACACACATGACAAGTGGGTCTTATCAGGAGAGTCAACGAATCACAGATGTCAATTAAGCGAAATGAGGTGGCAGTAGTTTTACACTAGATGGCAAGTGCGCATCGTGGAAATTCTGGGGGAGGAACGCGCGGGATCGAGTCGCGCGCTGTTGTCTTGTGATCCGATTTCCTAATCTCCTCTTGCTTCTCCCCCTCTAACCCGCACACCATTCCTTCGACACCATCGGCGAAAGCTGCACATCACCGATGACCTCACTCCTTTGAGTCGCCTGTCGGCCGCAATCGCGGCTGGCACAGTCCTTAATCGCATCACTGTCACCAAAGTCACTCATTTACACTACTAACCCACCGGGGCTCCGCTCAGCCCCCTGTCGCTCTTTTCCACAATGCGCGGCGCCGCTCTCTCGTCGCCGTCGCAAACGCTGCTTCTGCTCCTCGTCCTCCTCCTCGCATCCTCGACGCCCGCCGTCGTCGCCGACGGCACCGTGTGGGCCACCCCCCATGACAGCTACTCGTCGTCCGTGGGCGTGCTCGGCTGCAAGATCAATACCGACCGTGTCGCCTACTGGCCCGGATCCGTCGACTGCAATAACCTCTGCATCTCCCTCAGCTACGACGACGGCAAAACCAACAAGCGCACCGTGAAGCTCCTACGCATCGACCAGTCTCAGGGCGCCTACGACGTCAGCTACGACGCCTGGAACTATCTCTACACCGGCAACTCGGCCAAGGAGTTGCCCGTCGCCGGCGGCCCGCTCGCCATGGAATACGCCGAGCTGCCCGCTGACGAATGCCGATCGCTGCTCCGGACCAAAGACAAGAAGCTGGCCCTCAGCGCCTCCAACAGCATGAACTTCCTCGCCAGCTGCCTCGCTCAGCCCGACAGCTGGGTCGCCAAGAACTACGTACTCTATAACATGCTCGACTCCATCTGCTCCTGGGGCTACGACGAGGTGTGCAAGCTCGACTGGCCGGCGGCGAACCAGCCCACCTGCAAGCACTCGCTAGGCATGCCGGTCGCGCTCAAGGACGACCCCGTATACAACGTTCAGTACCCTAGCGGCGACGTCGTCGTTGCGTCCACCGGCGAAAAGGTGTCATCTCCCGGCCAGAGCACGAGCCCGGCCCCGCAGACCCAGAACGGCGGGCCGGGGCGGGTGGCGATGACGCTGTTGATGGCGGGGTCCCTGCTCTGGATGCTTCTGGTGCTGGGTTAGTGTCGACGAGTTTTTGGAGGTTGGAGAAGAGAGGGAATGTTGATACCATACGAGATACCATGTATACCCCCCACGTCATAGGATGATAATGTTGAATACCACTTGAGAATTTCTTTATTTCCGTGTGTCGCGGGTGAGCCCGGGTCTCGAACCGTCGACCGTTTGTGTCTTGGAATTTCTTGTTTCACCAAGAAAGCTCCATGCCGCAGAGCCGTGGCCATGTCTGCTTCCCCGTAGTTTCACATCCGAGGTCCACAACTGGAGGCATAGAGGAGTAGTTATCGCAGAAGATGCCCACGATTCTGGACGAGGAATCGCTTGCCATGGTAGCCGATTACCGAACTCTAATCCTCTGTTTATTTTATCTGAGATGCCCAAACGGGCTTCTGCCGCTCTCATTCCGAGTTCCCCCCGGGAGGGCTACTTGTTATATTCTTTTGTCTAGATGCTCCGCTGCAGTTGGTTCCAAAGAGATGGAAAAGAAAAGACCGCTCTCGCGCCATGTATAATGAAAAGACAAGTCCATGAAAATACCCGACAGTCCACGCTCCGCAGGTGATGCAAAAAGTAACACTGGATTGCGGACCCCCACCCAAAAAGGGTTAGAGACGCACGAACAGTTTACGGCCTATTTCTTCTTCCGCCCCTAGTTGGTCTTGTAGCCGCGGAACTTCTCCCGGATCTCGTCCTCGCTGAACTTCTTCGTGTGCCGGCGCAGCATGGCGGCGCGCTCCTCGAGCGTCATGGCGATTTGGTCGCCGACCGGGACGAGGCGTTTGGCGAGGTGCAGGTAGTCCTTGCGAAGCAGGCGGACGGTGATCATGAGGTAGTCGATGTCGTGGAAGACGAGGGCCTTCTCCCGGATGTACGTCTTCTTCTGCTGGAGGAAGGACGTCGGGTGGTCGCGCCAGTGGCGGCGGGGGTTCAGGTGGTGCGAGGTGTGGTAGCCGTCGTTGTAGCAGTAGCGGTTGCTCTTGGGGGTGTGTGTTAGCTTTACTCCGTTACGGTCTTTTTATATTAAGCGAATCCCCATTAAGGGGGAGGGGGGAGATGGATGGAGATGCTTACCGGCACGTCAATGAGGGTGATGCTGGAGCGAAAGTCCGAGTCGGGCTCGTCGGCGTCGACGAAGGCGTGCTGGCCCCAGTTGCCGACCATGAGGCCGAGGCGGAGCAGCAGCAGCGGGGCGAGGAGGACGAATCCGGTGGCCCGGGGGTTGACGCGGTAGAGGGCGTAGAGGACGGCGTAGTTGCCGAGCTCCCAGAAGCCCGTCTTGAGGGCGTTCTTGAGCTGGCCCTTGCGGAAGAAGTACCGGGGCAGGTCGAACCAGACGAGGAAGAAGAAGCGGGCGACGTAGTGGAGGAAGTGGAGGGGGTCGTCGCGCTGGTAGCGGATGGTGGACGACAGGTCGTGGGGGCCGTTGCCCTCGACGTGGTGGTGCTTGACGTGGTGGTAGAAGTAGGTGTTCCACGTGTGGCCCATGAGGGGGTCGGTGACGTAGGGGAAGACGGCGTCGATGACGCGCAGGACGGCGCTGTCCTTGGAGAGGATGCCGTTCATGTGGATGTGCTGGTGCATCATGAGCGTGTAGGTGCCCATGTAGTGGAACTGTAGCGCCGTGTGCAGGACGGCGTGGAGGTAGCTGAAGCTGCGGAACAGCATCACGGCGCTGGGCACCGAGGTGGTCAGGTAGAGGACGAGGTGCGTCAGCATGATGACGTCCGTCTCGTGGCGAACGACCTTGCGCGCCCACGCGACGTACGGCAGGACGACGCGGCGGTGGAGGGCGGCCGGGATCTTGGCCGGCAGGTCCCGGAGGTCCACGGAGGACAGCACGCTCGGCTCAAAGTCCGGGCTGGTGGCGTCGTTGAGACCCTTTAGCTTGCGGATGTCCTTGGCGTCCCTCTGGGACGACACCCCGCGGCAGGCTATTTTGTTGCGGTCAGCCGAGAGGCTCTTGTGCGTTGGGCTGCTTGCTTGCTTTGGGCGCCCGAAGCTGGGACCGTGGGGGGGGGGGGGGGAAAGACTCACGCTCGTCATCTTTGTTGGACTTGTCGTCCAATGACTCCTGGCTGGCATACCCCTCGTCACCGTCGGCGGGAGCCAAGTGCTTGTCGTCGTAGCGCTTGATGTCGTCGATAAGGTTCTGGAGGACGATGGTGTCTTGAACCGTTAGGTCGGGGCTGATGGTGAGACCACTCATTGCATGCAAGTTACCCGTTTCCCGGTGTATATGACAGATTACACGGGGGGGAAGAGTTTAGGATGTTGAAGAGAGGGACAAACACAGTGACACATCCAGACTCATACACACATACGCATACGGGGCCGTTGCTGAATCGGTTGCGATTCGGGCCACCCATTTGAAAAGGCCTTTTTTTCTTTTTTTTTTATTGCCATTGCGGGTAAACGAGCTGTTTTAGGGGTCGTCCGGGATTAAAAAGTGGGATGGGAAAGGCATGACAGCGTTATCATGTCGAAAAAGGAGGTGACCAGTGCTTTAATACGGGTACTCAATCTCGTTACCCCCATGTCGCGTCTCTGTTTCGCCCCATGGAACCGGTACTGTCAAGGTCATGGGCTACGGAGCAGACACGACTTGGTTGCCCGTCTCGCCGGGCCATGTAGGAGCTGAGTCCGTACGATATGCAACTGTATTCGTATGTTCAAGCCATGGTTGCGGCTATAGTTGGCGGTCTAAAGACGAGGGGCGGCGAACCCAATAACCAATCGATTTCACTTGTTCCGCGAGAAACAAGACTATTTACCAAAGGCGGCGATACGGGATGAGGCTCGAAGCCGCTGATTGGCCTGGCAGCCGCTCCGTGACAGACTTTTCGTCTGCCGGGGGGAAGCTCCTCTTCATCCACGCTAGTAAGCCAAGTATTAACATCAAGCCATGTGTGAGATTGAATCGTGCGAGTTGGCGTCTTGTCAAGCGGGCTTGTTTTCAACGGCGAAGGGGTTCCCCGTCGACGAGACCATTTTCAGGGTCCTCTCGCAGATCCTAAAGGGGTAATGCCAAGCAAGCAAGAGCGCTACGCACGCCGGCTCGCCGGCACCGCTCACCGAAAGACTTGCGAGGGCGGGAGGAACCCTTTCTCACATGCTCTGCCACAATCCTGCAACCCAGAGCGTGATTAAGTCAGACCGCTCAGTTAGCTCATCTGGTTCTCGTCAATGGCTCTTCGTGCTGATACGGCAATCTCTCTGCCCATACCTCGGTGCCCCTTAACAGTCCTTCCATGCCTGCGCCAGAGATGCCGACTATTGGGTTCTAGAACACCGCTAGCTCCGGGTCCCTTTGGCGAGCGCGTGAAAGCTAGCGCTTGACAAGGTCACTTTTGGAACCGTTGCGCCCTGAGTCGATGCTAGGGAGATGAAACGGTGCGGAAATAGAAAAGAGTTTATCCATACAGAGAGGTGTACGTAACCACGGACAGGGGTCTTCTCGGTCTATCGATTCCTGTTGATGAAAATGCCATGGCACAAGAACCACAATCTGGCCGGTCCAATTCCAGCAATCTTGATGATCTCCCTCTCCCCTCCCCACCAGTCCGAATGAGCGTTCCAGTTGATTAACCACCAAGGAGGGGGGGGGGGGGGGGGGGGGGCGGTCAAGCTTTGGGGGCTTTGGAGGCCTTGGCCCCTGGAGCTCATCCCAGTCACTCACTCATCTGCCAGACTTGGGTGCTGCACCCCCTTCTCCGCTCCCTGGCAGTGCGACAGATCAGGGTCGCAGTGCAGGAGTACGAGCCGAGTCTTCAAGTTCGGCAGTCTGCAGCAAGGGCTTCGTAAACGTTTTTGCCCTGAGACCGACGCTGCGGATCCTAGATGTCGGAACAGGCGGGGCGCCGCGTGCCCAATAGGACGGGTTCCCTCTTAGCTTGGCAATAGCTTACTGTGTTTATCACGTAGACAAGCTATGAAAAGAAAGCTGGTATGCTGCAACACTGACCCTTTACCCACTCTTCACCGCAGCAATCTCTCCGACGAATGTGTGCACATCAGACAGCACAACTGGGCAAGAGAGTGGCATAAAGAAAAGGCAAAAGGTGACTGGGAAAACATGTGGTATTGTTTGATGGTCAAGAGAGCATAGATGGTACTGCCACCACTCGGTCAAGCGGCAGTTGGGGCGGAAATAACCTGACATCTGCAGTGTGGTAACTTGAGGCAGGTTTCGTATATTTATGCAAGGAACCATCGTCACTGTGTGAATGACAGAGAGAGAGATTGAAAGAAGAGGATATCTTGTTTGTTCCCTGATGCGTCAATTGCGGAACCCGACCAACGTGTGCGCGCGCAACTGGACCAGCCCAGTCCAACCTTTCCAGGCGGCTCGAACCCAGAGAGACGTCACTGGTGCCGAAACACGTCTCCTAGTCTTTTGACCTAGCTCGCTCAACCTGGGCCTCAATGTTGGCCTCGAACTTCTCGTCGCTGATGGATGGAGATCTAGCGCGCTCAGGCGCCATAATGGGTCTGCCTCTCACCTGCGCCCACACCGTCTTGTGCGTAGGGTTCAGGAAGAGGGCGTCCATGTCTTCAAGGGTTAAGCCTGGCTCGGGGTTAGCGGATGGACGATCGTAGGATTGGTGTTTAGGGTTAGGGTTAGGGTTAGGGTTATAGGTCAGAGAAGAGGCTGAAAGGAACGTACCCTTGGTCTCGGGGACGAAAAAGAAGGCCCAGACGCCCATGAGTATGAGGATGGCGCCAAAGAAGAAGTAGGCCCCGTAGCCGAGGTCTGAAATCATGTACGGCGTCGATCGCGCGATGATGAAACTACCCAGCCAGGTGGTGGCGGTCGTGATGGAGACGGCCAACATCCTGATTTCGAGCGTCTGCACTTCGGACGCGTAAAGCCATGTGATTCCCTGCCATGTGGCGCAGATGATGATCTTGCACAGGCACGTTAGCATGCGGACAGTTTTCGGCTGGTTCGGTGTCCAACTCACTCCATTGATGTACACGCAAGTCATGGCAAGGTAGCCCCAAGCATCCCGGTTGATGACGCCCGAAGCAGCTGCTCTGGCCGGGTCGTTTTTCAACACAAACCCTCCGATATATAACATCGGGATACAGCCGAGAGCAGATCCCCATAGCAGACCCTTCCTACGTCCGACCCTCTCGGCGACCCAGAAGGTGAAGAGGAACATGCCGAACGTTTTGGCGATGCCGTAGAACCCGGTGGAGAAGAGCTTGGTGGACGTGCCCGTGATGCCGAGAGTCTCAAAGATTCTCGGAGCGTAGTAGGTGATGATGTTGACGCCTGTCACGCATGTTAGACTAACAACCTGGAGAGAGAGAGAGAAAGGTGGGGGGTCTTACCGGTGAAACTCTGGAGGAACATGAGGGTCATACCCAGGCCTATACGGTTGCGGATGCCCTTTTGGAAAAGCTTCTGGAACATCTGCTTCTTTGTCATCTTGTTGGAGGTGCGCTCCTCGACCTGAGTGCGGATGTCTCCCATCTCGCGGCGGATGTACTCGTGGTCGGCGGGCAGGCCGCGGATCTGGACGAGGATGCGCTCTGCGGCGTCAAAGTGGTCGCCGCGGGCGAGCCAGCGCGGCGACTCGGGGCACCAGATCATGCCGAGGGCGAGCCCCAGGCCGGGGGCGAGCTGCAGGCCGAGAGGCACGATCCACTGGGCCCGGGAGTTGACGTCGATGGTGCGATCGGTGGCGTAGTTGATCCAGAAGCCGAGCATGCCGCCGCCCTGGGAGGCGATCTCGAAGATGCCGACGAGGCGGCCGCGGATCGAGGGCGGGGCCGTCTCGGCGATGTAGACGGGGACGGTGAGGGAGGACGCGCCGATGCCGAGGCCGGCGATGGCGCGGCCGGCGTAGACGAGGTTCAGGTTGCCGCTCGCCGCCGTCATGAGGGTGCCGCCGACGAGGAATACCATGCCGGCCAGCATGACCGTCTTTCGGCGGCCGAGCTTCTCGGCGATAGGGAAGGTGAGCAGGGCGCCGAAGAAGCAACCGGCCTGTGTTTCGTCCCAAAGTCAGTTCAAGAAGAGTGAAGGAGGTCAAACGAGGGGGGTGGGCTGTGCGTACCTGGAATGTCGAGACAATGTTGCCCTGGATCGTGTCGCGGGTCGAGGATGGGACCCCGTCGAGGTGGAAGTCCCGCCGGAACGAGTCTAACGCCATCGTGCCTCCGATGACCGCGGTATCATAACCCACTGGTAGGCCAAGTCAGTCAGTATTGTGCAGATCGGACGAGCATTCCTGAGAGGTGGGTGGAGGGCCGCGCTCCGCTTTCCACCGGACATGTACGCGGCGCCGGAAGACGGGCGGTACGGTCACCCGTATATCCGGGATGATGGAGAATACAACGCAGGCCGCACATCAACACAAAGACTAAAGGAAACCACGTACTGGCCAAGGCGGACATGCTGGCAACAAGCGCAATCAAGTGGATGCGCCAGTTCCGCACCTCGGGGGGGTCCTGCGTCCCGGACGCATGGGTGCTGAAGAAGCCCATGCCGGGCAGAGCAAGCAAGGAAGACTTTGCAAATTGGAACAAAAAAAAAGGGCGGAGCAACCGTCGCGATGGGGGAGGGTGGCCAAGAGTGCGTTTGTGTGTGTAACACGCGAGACGACGGCCGAGGAATCGACAAGACCCAGAGGTTGCGTACGTGAGCGAGGGAAACCAAGCAGTCGACGGAGAATCCGGCAGGGGAGGCAAGCTTTATCTAGGCCAGGCCATGACGTCCACCCCCTCCCCGGCCGAACGATGAGCTTGAAATGCACTCGCTTCGAATGGAGAGCCAGTGGTTGGGAGCAGAGTACAAAGAGCTGCGGGAGGAAGGGCAGGTGGTTCAAGGATCGGCGGTGTTTACCCCGCGATGAACCCCCATGGGGAAAGAAAATTAAGAAGGGGGATTAGATGTGGCCCCCGGGGTCGTCAAAACTTGCCTCGGGTCCAGAAGAATAGAGTCAGAGTCGCACCAAAAATAAGGACAGTCACACACGCTTGCTCGGACGGTCCAGCCATTCAACGTCCGGAGATGACAACATCAAGTTCCACCCCCACCACCCCTGTCCAGTTGAATGGGCTGGGCAGCGAAGACTTGGCGTCAGCAGATGTGTGGATCAGCCAAGACATGCATGCATACGCTGAGGGGGGGAGGGGAGGGGGAGGATGCTAGTGGTTTCCCTCTCTCTTCTTCTGATGCTGTAGGGGAACGTCGTTTGCTCACGTTCTCCCGCTCTTTTGCACTGGGGGGGGGGGGGATGTGTGCTTGCTTTCGAAGGCCTACCTCCGCAGAGAGGAGAGGGGACTTGTTTGCGGGCAAGATATACAGAGTAGAGCGCCAAGTTTCTTTTCCGTAACTGGATGCATGGCCCCGGGCTGCTGGGAGCTGTCCAAGGGAGGGGCGGCGCCTCATGATGTTGTTCACGTGGGAATAACGCCGCGCAGAGTCAGTCACAAATTCTGTTGTCAGTACAACCAAAGCTGCCTTCCATGTTTGATTAATGGAACCGAGTAAACCGTGATTCCAACTGGTAGATTTTGCTTCAACGTGTCGACCACAATCCAAGGATTCTTCTGTTTGTTGAAAGTTTTACAGGTACTTGGATACTAAACCACAGCTGTGAGACCACACATGAGGATATCCCAACATGGAGAAAACGTTGCCAAGTTTCGGTTAGGGTTTTGCCAAGACGAAAACAAGCGGGGAGAATCGGACGCAGGGGATTGAGCACGCATTGGATGTCATATAGCCGGCTTCGAAGCTCTGGGTAGCTCTCACGAAAGTAACCCAGATACCACGGGCCCGGACCGGTGGAAAGGTGCGGCCCCATTCTAGGAGATTGGATCAAGGCGTGAGTGACAAGCCATTACGGGACCGGGGGGGAGGGAGGCAGGATTCCTATCTGCTGGTAGGTAGTTCATCTGCCCCGGGGACGGGCCTGGATCTGCCTCCCCAACCTCCTCATCGGTAGTCAAGTTTGAGTTCCGAGACCACGGGAGCCGCTGCGCTGTCAAGAGGCGGCTCCATCGCGAGCCACTCATAACCCCCCGACGTACTCGGCGACACCCTCCCAAAAGTCCAAAAGGCGTTTTGGCATTTCTTGGCTCCTGTCCACCTCGTGTGCACCCGTATAGCCCCGGATCTTATTTGGCATGCAGGGCTCCCATTCCACCCCGGCGGACTGCCTGCTGCGGTCCAGTTGTAGAGCTCCGTTGGGCCTGCGCGCTAGTTACGCCAGCCGCCGGTAGCCCGGTGATGCTGGTACGGGCTTATGCGTGCTTCTCGCATCAAGACGGGCTTCTCTCTTCTTCTTCTATCGCCGAGGGGGCGGGGCTCCCCCTCACCTCCCTTGACCCGTCGCTCGAACTAGACTTACAACGGCCATGTTGCATCGGTTATGATTTCTAGCATGTCGCGGTCCACTGGACATCACGCATTCCCACATTATTGTCTGTGCTAAGCCACCCCCAGTCTGGGGTTCACTCAAGATTTAAACTAGATACGGAGAACCTGGTGGCTTGGCACATAGTTCATCCAGGGTTGTGCGGGGCGTCTTTTCTGTCAAAGTTCCGTGTCTCTGGCTCTCCGTTTCTCCGAGGTGCCAGATATGCGGGTTCTGATTTCTTTCGATACGTTGTGCCGAGTCGGTATTATGCAGTAGTCTGTCTATCGTTGGGTCACAGGGCCTGGCTTATGGAAGCATTTATCCACGTGTATACAAACCAGGCGTGAAAGATTACGACATGAACATATCTTCCAGTATAAGAAGTGACTGAAGAAACTTATTTAATACTTCTTGAAGGATTGGGAAGGAGCCTCTTTCATATGAGAAGATTGCCACAACGTATCAAGTTACAATCTCCTTGTCCTCTCGCACACCACGACGTGATCAGGCTTCGTCTTTCATAGCATGCAGCAAAAGAAAAACAACTAGCCACAAACTGACACGCTGCTAAACTGTTCATACTAACCGTTGCGGCTCCAAAACCTCGTCTCGGCTTGCGATGTAACCCACCACTAGTGCATCCTGATGGATGGCACGCACGCTGGGGCCCGACATGATGTACCGCTGCAAATTGCCCAATGAAGCCAGAGGCACCTCTGGTGTTCACAACCACTTCGGGCAACTTCCGTAAGGTTCCCACAAGCGATGGTCCGGCAGGTAAAAAACAAGCGACTCGAGTGCGTTGTCTGATACCTGCCAACTCCATGACAGCGCAGAATGCGGGTTCGCGTGATTTGTTTTGGCATAGTCGTGACCTGACTATCCCCCACTCGCTTATGTTAGTCGCTTGCCACGCCTCTGCGGACCTCGGTCAACGTGGCATTCCGTTGAAAGGTCAAGATCAAGATCAAGCCCTCCACACCGAGATACCAAACCAGTTAATAGTAAGGCAGGATATGTACAGCCAAAGTGGGTTGAAAGGCGACAGGTGATGAATGCTGGCAGTTGTATGCCATCTGCTGAGGAAGTGCAGATTTGCTCTCCGGGTGGCTTGCCTGGAGACTGAGTCTAGTATAAGCAGCCAGTCTAGAAGCAATAGTTATAGCTTAATCAGCGGCTAAGAGTCTCGAAGACGCTCGAATGTTGCCAAGGTGGCCCGTTATCCCACTTTGTAGATGGTCAAGCCAGTTATCTATAAACCCTCAGCTAATGAGGAAAGTCCAGAAAAGCTGTCCACTACCATTTTATGTGCCCCTCGCTTCACTCTCAATTATGCTGTGCTTATTGATGATGTCGATGATGATATCGAAGTTGAGTTGGGGGATATGAGGTTGATTCATGCTCAAACCTCCAAAAGCCCGGTTCAAAATGCTTACTGGCTTCCAAAACTAACCCCCGACATTCAAAAACCCCGCAATTTACTCTCCACAGCCGGGGGGAAGTTGGCATTACATACCAAAACAACGGCTAGGAACCGGACCCCAGGCAAGTAGCCCATGCAACCGGGTGAGTCAAGAGTCAGTGCAGTGCACACGCAGCGCAGAAAATTCTAAGGAGGGAGGGGGTTCCTTCAACCCCCTTGCGAACTCCCCCACATCGTGGAGTGGCAAGGGGGGCGGGGAGGAATGGACGAGGTTGCGTGGTTATCGGAAAACCTCCCCCCCTTCTCTCCACTCCCCCGCGCGCCTTTCCCCGGCTCTATGCAAACACACGCGCTCCTCCACATCCCGACCAGCAACCGCCGCAGCCATCGTCCCAGACCTATGCGGACAGGCAGAAAGATAGCAAGAGATTGCCTTTGGAAAGGGTGGGAAAGGGAAGAGGATGTCCGCCACTGCCAACAAGCCTGCACGCGACTGTCACCGTAAGCATGCAGGAGAATAACAGTGGGATGTCGGCTCTGCCAAGTTCTTACCGGCTACTGAGGAGATCGGTGAGGTCCAAGGAAGGGTGTCTGACCTGCAAGTGAGTAGTCACCACGCCCGCCCGCCGATTCATGCTCATCCCCTCGTGCCGCCGAAGCAAGGCCAGTAGGGGCAACCCCCCTGACTTCCGAAGGGGGGTTGCAGTGCCGGCCCGGCTAGTAAAGCCCGCAACCGGCCTGGGTATGAACGAGGATGACCGTCGCGCTGACAACGGAACCCCCCACAGACGTCGGAAAGTCAAATGCGATGAGTCCAGGCCCAGGTGCAGCCATTGTGAACGGCTGAACCTGGAATGCAAGTGGCGGCCGCAGAGCAGTGCCGCCGCCCACTCCATGCTGGCAGCAGCCGCCGGCCCCTCTGGGTCCGGTCGTAGCCCGGCCATGCCGTCCCATGCCACCGATGCATCCGTGTCTCCGGCGGCGTCTATCTTCCAGCCCGTGCGAGCCGTCGATGAGATCTTCGACTATGCCAGCTTCATGTGGGATGCCGGCGATGCTTGGCAGCGGGCCGACCCCGAGTCGGGTCAACAGATGAGCCTCGGGGGACAGGCCCTAGTACGTTGTCTTCATGTGGTTATTGAGCTCTTGGCTAAAATCACGTAGCGAAGTCAATACAATAGTCAGCCTCTCGGTGGCCGGCGACCACAACCCATGTCCAGCCCGCCAAACCTCGGCTTCACGGATCGAACCGCCATGGGCAGCCTGTCGGGATTGTCATCGGTACCGGATGCAAGCAGTCAATCAGAACAGGCCATGGATATGCAGGACCCGACAGAAGACGACCGACTAATGGACTATTTCAGCCGCGTCGTCGTCCCGCCCATCCTCGCCGAGGTTGAGACGCAGAAGAAGTGGCTGGCGGTCCGCCAGGTCGTCGTGGACATGGCCGGCGCGTCGCAGATGGTCAAGTGGTCGGCCCTCGCCTTCTCCAACCTGATTCTGTCCCGTCGCGAGGGGGCCTGGCTCACCAGCCCGGAGGACCACTACCAGAAAGCCGTGGCGGAAGTGGCAGCGTGCGGCGACGGGCCGTCTCCCGCGCTCGACAACCCCGGCTCCCGCCGAGAGCACCTGCTCGCGACGCTGTTCTTCCTGAGCTACGTCGACATACTCAGGGGCCAGATCAAGGCGGCGGATTCGTTCCTGAAGCGGGCGTACGGGCTGTTCCAGCAGGGCGAGAAGAGCAGCTTCACGGCCGTCGAGAAGCAGTTCCTGCAGTGGATGCGTCTTCTCGACGCCCGCGCCGTCTCTGCCGGCGGCCAGGGCCTGCTCTTGTCCAAGGACGACGAGCTGCTGCTCGTCGAGGCATCGCCCGCGAGCTTCGACGGCGGCGTCACCGACCCGGGGAGAGAAGACCTCGCCGACGGCGACATTGAAGATGTCCTGTTCCAGGTCCTGTACCAGCCCGGCATCGTCTTCTTCCAGAAAGTGCAGAGCTTCATGGGGCGGATATCCGAGATCGACCCGTGGCACCGGTCGCGCGGCACGGTCGAGGACGAGACGGAGGTCATGAACATCGGGGCGGCCATCACGGCCGACCTCCGGGCCCTGTACGAGCAGCGGCCGCCGCTCATGGACTACGCCGTGGCGGGCAAGCTGACGGAGCCTCACGTCTCGCCCCATCTCGCCTTCGTCACCACGCGCGCCTTTCGCACCTACCTCGCCAACTACCACGCGAGCAAGGTCCACCTGCACAGGGTGGCCTACAAGTCCTTCCCGCTGACCAAGGAGGCGGACGACGCGCTGGGTCAGATCCGGCGTCTGGCGAGGCTGCTCGTCGACTCCCTGGACGCGGACAACTCGCTGCCCGTCAACATGCTCTGGCCGCTGCTGATGCTGGGCTCCGAGGAGCGGGACCCCCAAGGGAGGGTCTGGATCAAGACGCAGATCCTCCGGATGGAGAGGGTCGCCGGCAATGCCAAGATCACGGCCCAGGTGCTGGAGGAGGTCCAGGCGAGGCAGGACGCTGACAAGGTCCGGGTCGACATTCGGTCCGTCATGCACGCCATCTTCAACTCGTGCTTCGCCATAGTCTGATGATGCTCACGGCGGCATGGAGCATTGACTAGACAGGATTGATACGCCAACTAACACATCTCGCTGGGCTCACGCATATTGGTAATAACGTAGCAGAACGGCCAGAGTCACAAATATGTCACCACTCAGAGGAAAGGAACAGTATAGATACATAAAGGCCGGGGAAGTTTTGTTTTGTGACGTCAGGACTTGTTAGATAGCCCCCGGGGGGCGGGAGTCAAGTCATCATTATCTCGCATCAACACAGCCATCACCCAAGATATCCGATTTGCTTAGAGTGCAATTCTATCAAACCGACCTTCCGTCATGGAACCTACCACATACCCGAGGCTAAGTGACGAACAAAGGTGTCAGCACATCGCCTCAAAGGCCCTCCTTGTTCCCCAATCCACCCACGCGATGGAGACCATCGGCTGAAGCGACAGGCCCGACACTAGCGCACCCGACGCCGGTGGGTCCCGATCGGGAGACCCGCTTTACGGCCTCCAGTCCGATCGGGAACTTTGTCAGACGCGGGCTTCAGGGAAATATCCATCTCTATCTGACGGAACGCCCCAAGTTTCTGTCGTTTCTGTTGGAACAAGTTACCGGAGAAATGAGGGTCATGCGGGACGCAAAGCGAGCACTGCACAAGTCGTTTGGCCGCGTCCCCTCCCCTCGAGACATCCCCCCCCCCCCCACGGCGTTGACTGACTCGTCGCATGGTTGACCTCATGCCCGTGGGGAAGGTCGGCTTGTCGGAACCATGATCCCCTCGTGATGCCCCCGCGTTTCGACATCCAGCGCGGGGTCGAAAGCTCCGAGCCACGGAGCTCAAGAGCTACTTCTATTGACTTCTTCCATCACTCCTGCTCACACGATTTCCTGGCCCAGATCCATTGATGCCGCGAGCTCTGTGTTCCTCTTGTATTCAAAGTGCCCACCCTGTCAGCTCTCGTTTTCCAAGTCAACCCTTCGCTTTCCCATCACTCATTCCCGCTTAGGCGTCGTTGCGATGGCTCCCACCAAGTCCTTTCCCGCCGGCATCCATGTCCCCAGTCTGACTTGGTTCGGCGACGACGCCAGCCAGGAGATTGACTGGGACGTCCAGACCAAGCACATTGAGTTCCTCGTCAAGTCGGGACTTCACGGCAGTAAGTTTCTGGCTCGGGCGTGCGCCCACCCTCCCCTTCTCCTTCTTTCCAAATCTTTTTTTTGGTTCTAACGGGGTTCTGTTACAGTTGTTCTTGCCGGCACCAACGGCGAGGCCGTCACCCTGACCAACGAGGAGAAGACCAGGCTCGTAAAGACGACGAGGGAGGTCGCCGTCAAGGCCGGCCGCCCCGACCTGACCATCACCATGGGCTGCGGCGGCCAGTCCACCCGCACCGTCATCGAGGAGACCCGGCTCGCCGCGGCCGCCGGCGCCGACTACGCCCTCGTCCTCGTCCCCAGCTACTTCCACTTCGCCATGAACGAGGAGGCCATCGTCGGCTTCTTCGAGGAGCTCGCCGACGCCAGCCCCGTCCCCGTCATCATCTACAACTTCCCCGGCGTCGTCGCCGGCCTCGATGTCAACTCGGACATGCTCTCCCGCCTCGGCCGGCACCCCAACATCGTCGGCGTCAAGCTGACCTGCGGCGGCATCGCCAAGGTCGCCCGCGTCCGCGCCGAGTTCGACCCGGCCGAGTTCTTCGCCCTCGCCGGCCAGAGCGACTGGCTCGTGCCCGCCCTCACCGTCGGCAGCAACGGCACCATCACCGGCGTCGCCAACCTGTTCCCCAGGTACTGCATCGAGATCTTCGACCTGTACAGCGCCGGCAAGCTGCAGGAGGCCTCCGCCGCCCAGCTCAAGCTGGCGCAGATGGAGTGGGCCTTTGGCAAGGGCGGCATCAACGGCACCAAGTGGGTTGTCGCCAAGTCCCACGGCTACCCCCTGACCAGCTGCCACTGCAGACGACCCTACCCCCAGTACACCGACGAGAAGAAGCAGGCCTGGATCTCCGCCTTGGTGGCACCTCTGGTCGAGGAGGAGGCCAAGCTGAACCAGCGTGCTTGATTGTAAATGGGCAGTGGCTACTTGGGACGAAGAATCGAAGGCATAAGACTGTGGACATTGGCGTTTTGGGGCATTTAAAAAGAATTAGCAAAGGCATCATGAATGAGCAGGATGAATTATCATTATGTTGAAGAAGTCTAAGAATTCTGGTTAAGTGAGAGCAGCATGAGCAGTTTACCATTCTTTAGATATACTGTCCGTTATGTTTCAGGCATCCCACTCGCACGACACCTTCGGTCACTGGTCTTGCTTGGATCGTTTTGGTTCGAAAAAATCAAACAAAAAGTCGATTACCTTGTAATGTGGACAGATATCGTCAGCGATGCAAAAAAAGAACACCACTGTTGATGGGCGGGGGGGAGCATAGCTGAAAATACTGCCATTATCAAATTCGGAATAAATTGCTCCCGGCAGCCTGTTTATACATCCCTAAAAGTGCATGTAGAACAGTTCTGTCTTGTCATCCTGACTCTGAACGAGTGGACATCGGCTTTGCAAGCTCTCATGTCTGGGTATAGTACACAACTGCTTCCCTCAAAAGATCCGATCACTAATTCTCTAACCGCCAAAGTCCACGGTTCCCCTCTCATCCCCAACTACCAACACAAGCTCTCATGCGACCTCGGTATGCTCGCTTGAGTTTGCCTTGTTATCCTACAAAGGCTCATCGACGATCTTTTTGGAAGGCTCTGGGCGGGCATCGTAGGCGTAGCCGCTGAGGGGGAAAGGAGTCAGTATCTGCACACTGCGGTATGGTATCGGACACAAAGACACATACAAGATAACGTCCATCTGGTCCATGGTAAGGCCCTTGGTCTCAGGCAAGAAGATGTAGGCCCACGCAGTGGCAACGATCATCCATGAGGCGAAGAAGAACCAGGTCCCGTAGCCGAAGGAGCTGAAGATGTACGGCATCGCTTTGGTGATGGCGAACTGTGTGGCCCTGGGACACTGTCAGCATAACCGAGACACCGCGGCAGAGGCTTCACTTACCAGACGACGAGGGCGGCGTAGGTCCCGGTGAAGTTGCGGAGAGCGCCGGGGAAGATCTCGGCACTGACGATCCACGGGATGCCGTTCAAGCCAAATGACCAGCTGTAGTGATCGTTAGGTCGGTCCGGATCGGTAACAGTGATTAGGAAGGGGGTGGCATACCAGATGGAGTAGATCATGATCATCCCCGTCGCCGCTTTACCACCCGCAGCAGTCGAGGCGGATAGCTCCTGGCCGGCTGCGATGATGTCGGCAGGATGACCAACTTTGACGTACGTGCCGACAATCCAAAGGCAAAGCGAGCAGACCGAAAGACGAAACGATGGCGGGCCAGCGTCTCCCAAGGACGTCGACGAGGAACACGAAATATATGATGGAGGCGATGGCTGGAGGTTCCCGTCAGTCAAACATGCTTCCTCGCCCCCTCTCACAACACGCGTTTTCGATTCGATGATGCTCACCCTTGACCAAGCCGTAGATTCCAGTATAGAGAGAAACATCGGTGATGCCGATAGATTTGAAGAGGGTCGGCGAGTAATAGTTGATGGCTAGGCGGGAAGATCAGTCGCTGACATGCACCGGATGCTGGGTTGGTTTCGACATATAACATACCAGCAGCACCGGAGAGGTTGTTGAGCGCAAAGGCGCAGAAGACAAGCACCAGACGGTTCCACATGCCCTTGCGGGCCAACATGTTGGCAACGCCGCGCAGGTATGCCCATTGTCCGGTACCGTACTGCGCGGCCACGGCGCGCTCCTCGTCAATCTTCTTCTGGAACATGTCGAGCTCCTCTTGCATGTCTGCGTACACCTAGATTAGTATCCCTCTGGGGAAAACGCAAGCATGATCAACAGTTTTTCTTTTTCTTTTCTCCGTGTGGTGCTCACATTTGTGGTCGATCGGCAGGTCCCTGAGCCCCTCGAGAACCTTGTGCGCCTTCTCTGTCTTGTTCTGCCGCAGGAGCCAGAGGGGGCTCTCGTGGATGAAGAAACAGCCGGCAAAGAGGATGCCGGCAGGGACCAGCTGGAAAGCCATCGGGACCGTCCAGCTAACGGGCTGGTCCGAGTCGAGAGTCTTCGTGATGCCGTAGTTGATCCAGAAGCCGATTACGGAGCCGAGCTGGTATGCCACTTCGAACAGACCGGTGAGGATGCCGCGGATCGAGGGGATCGAGAGTTCGCCGATATACGAAGGAACCGTGGCCGTGATCCCACCGCATCCAAGTCCCGTCAGGGCGCGCCCGGCATCTACGTGAATCAGGTCAGTCACTTGTCTGGAACGGTCTTTGGGTTGTCGAAGGGGGTGGGGGGGCTTCTTTACAGATGAATGACAGTTGGTCCGTCGCAACGGTCATCAGAATGGCGCCGACGATGAAAATGACGACGTTAGCCTGCAGGGTCCATTTTCTGCCCAGACGCTCGGTGACTGGTGGCGAGTTAGCCTTCCCGGATTCCCACGACGACAGGTTGGGAGATGCGTACTGAAGAAGCAAAGGACTGCACCGCCCAGGGCCCCGGCCTGGAAAGCCGAGGTGATGTTGCTGGGGATGTTGTTGGAGTTGCCGGCGTTGATGCCAAAGTCCCTCTTGAAACTGTTGCGGGCAATCGTGGTCCCGATGAAAGCCGAGTCGTATTCGAAGCTGCAACGAAAAGACAAAAAAGCGTGAGCCCGTCGTCCATGGTACGGCGAAGGCGAGCCACCATCTTACTTACAGAAAAGAGCCGGTGGCGATGATGGCGGCCTGGATGTAGAGCTTCCAGTTGTACACCTCCTTCGGCGTCGGGCGATCCTCGACGGCCTTGAAGCCACCCATGGCTTACGATGCCGTGCTTAAGACGGTTTGTCAACTGGTTGGGTGGGAACGGGGATTGAGTTATCGATGGAGTTTGCGGGTTTGAATCGCACGCGCACATGCACACACACACATACTCACACGGGGTTCACAGTCACATCCTGCAAGGAGCTCCGGCTGCCATAGAGTATTTATCCTGTCCTCCCTTTACCACCTCGTCGGATGGGCACATCCCCACGGGGTACAGGTGTGGAGAAAACATGGAGGGCTTTGGAGTTTGGCTCGCTCGCGCAGCCTGTCTCTCCGAAGGGGGAAGTTGGGGGAATGCCTGCTAGTTTGACTCGTGCTGCCAGGGTCTTGACCAACTGGATCCGGGCTGCGCTCCTCGGAAGTCGTCCGTGGACGATATCACGAACCGTCTTTTCGCACCCGAGCGAGTGGATCGACTTCTCCTCGCTAGCAAGCCACATCAAAAGTCTTGGTTGCGGTGGCAGCGAATGGTATCGTATGTTAGTGTGCCCTACCCCCGCTCGACTCACGCCAGTCCTCCATCAGCCGCTACTCAGCAATGGAGGTTTGTTTCCACGAGAGACCAGGCGATGGTGGTCTCCAACACCCGATCAGGATCGGCTGCTCTGCCCCCACTATGGCTTCCGATATGCGAGCCGACATGCGAGCCGAGGCAAAGTCGGCGGGATGCGACTCCACACCACAATCTTGGTATAACCAGGTTTTCGGGCCCCAGCATGTGGCACATCTGGAGAAGAAGCGAGGTGCATGAAGTGTTGACTGGCCCTGTATGAACGTCAACCAGGGGCACAAGAACAACCGTAGATGCCAACATCGAGGGATCGCTGTGCACGAAACATAGATCATTGTTAGAACCTCTTTGTTGCGAGTCTAATCCGCTCAGTCGGCGTCTAAATATTACATGTACAGTTTATGTGTTGAATTATGTCTATACATCATCATCAAAGGTTTCCGGCATCAACGCCGGGTCATTATTAGATATAAAGTTTATCCATATGCTGAGAGGCTAGTCCCAGATCCAGCTGACGAAGCGAACAGGGCCGGTCTTCTTGACTTCGGGTTCCTCGGGGTATGCATCAGCCTGTTCAATGGCGTCATGGAGCGGGATGTTCTCCAATGATACGGCTTTGGTCTTCTTGACGAACTTGTAGATGAGGAAAGCCAGCGTGACAAGCGGGATGTCCCTGCGCATTGGTCAGTTAAGAACCGCTAGCCAGCCCCGCGACGGGGCGGGATGCCGAGACTCACAAGTATGAAGAGACGAAGCCGGAGGCGCTCCAGTTGCCCTTGGTGAAGACCTCGAATCCGCTGGTGAACAGGATCAAGATGCACATGAACAGCGCAACGTGCGAGCTGTAGACTAGAGTTTCTCTTGGTCAGCAAAAGAAGAAAAAAGAAGAAGAAGAAATCCTGGGTGGCAGAATCCGCGCGAATGCTTACAGGTCCACGAGTTGTTCCACGGCAGTCTCTTGAACTCGATGCCCTGGGTCCTCAACGCTTTCTTGAGGCGGATGTGGTTGAGCAGAATGGCGGACCACGACACCAAGACGCCGGCCGAGGTCAAGTCGACAAGCCACCAGAAGACGGTCAGGGCGCCGTTGGACAGGCTCATGAAGCTGAGGAACATGAAGGCCGTGAAGAGCAGGACGCAGACGTAGGGCGTGCCCCACGAGGTGGTGCGGAGGAAGATCTTGGGGGCCTGTCCCTTGAGCGCGAGAGCGAACAGCACACGTGTGCCGGCGAGCAGGCTCTGGTTGGAGGCGGACCAGGCCGAGGTGATGACGACGGCGTTGACGACGCTGGGAATGGCGGGGATGCCGGCGGCCGAGGCGGCGATGACGAAGGGGCTCTGGGCGGCGGTGCCGGAGGCGTCGTCGAGGCGGGGGTCGTTGCTGGCGACCAGCATGCCGACGACGAGGACGGCGAGCATGTAGAAGAGCACGATGCGGGCGAAGACGCGCTTGCAGGCGCGGGGGATGGCGCGGCGGGGGTTCTGGGTCTCGGCGGCGGCCATGGCGAGGGACTCGACGCCTGCGAAGGAGAAGACGGCGCCCGTCATGACGCCCCAGTAGCCGAGGAACTTGCCCCAGTCGCCGGTGGCGATGTGCTCGACAAAGGGGCCGGGGCTCTGCCAGTAGCGGAAGCCGATGCGCGGGGTTCCGGGGACGCCGCCGAGGTCGATGACGAGGCCGAGGATGATGAGGAAGACGACGAGCAGGACCTTGAGCAGGGCGAAGACGAACTCGACCTCGCCGAAGACGCGGACGAAGGCGATGCCGACGACAAAGGTCAGGACGATGAAGACGACAATGAAGACGGCGGGGTTGATGTCGGTCCAGAACTCGAAGAGCACGCAGATGGCGGTGATCTCGGAGGGGATGGAGAGGACGTTGCCGTAGACGAGGTTCCAGCCGATGGCGAAGCCCCAGGCCGGGTCGACGAGGAACTCGGCGTGGCGGACGAAGGAGCCGGTGACGGGCAGCAGGGCCGAGACCTCGCCGAGGGCGAACTGCACGGCGCAGACGATGAGGCCGACGGTGGCGTAGCCGAGCAGGGCGCCGAGGGGGCCGCCGGTCTGGATGGCGCCGCCGAGGCCGAGGAACAGGCCGGTGCCGATGGCGCCGGCGATGCCCAGCATGGACAGGTGGCGCTGCTCGAGGCCGCGCTTCAGGTCGCGGTCCTCGGTGGCCGTGACGAAGTCGCCGTCGTGGTCGTCGTGAGGCTCGAACGGGCCGCCCCGAGGCGTGTCGGCGGCCGAAGCGGCCGAGGCGGCCTCGAGATCCTCGGACGTGATCCAAGCGTGGCGGGTGACATCGGCGATGCCCGGCGACTTGGCGCCGGGGAACGCAATGGTCTCGGTGCTCATTGTTGTCGCGGCTTTTCCTTTGTCTCTCTCTCTCTCTCTCTCTCTCTCTCTCTCGCTCTCACTCACACTCGCGCTCTCTCTCTCTCGAGTGAGCGCTCCTCTCTGTCCTTTTCTCAGCTGCGTCCTTCACCGAGGTCGAGCTGACGGTGCGAGGATGAGATGAGAGCGGAAAAAAAAGGAAAGCCGACCGCGAGAAGGACCAGTCCGAAGGGCTCGTTACGAGACAAGGGTTATGTAATCTCCGTTATCTCTCGCCGATTCCGCAATCGCACAATGAGTGAGAGCGAGAGACCGGGGGGGTCAGGCAACACAAGGAAATATCGCCGTCTTATCGCGACCTCGATCCGGCAAGGTGAGATTTTCTCATTTGATGGTGCCATCACGCCAAGCGGGGTCGAGATCCACCCGCACCGCGAAAAGCACGTTCCCAATGGCCGGCCGTGAGCATCTCAATATTGTTTCGTTTGTATAACTGACTCATACGGCCGAGATATTCGAGACTGATTTCCCCCCCTTCCGACGCCATGATGCATGATGATTCTGGCTGGGCCTTGCTGCTTCTGTCAACTGGGTTGCTCATTCGGGCTCCGGGGGCCAGCTGAGTAACGACCAGGGCCAGTGACGTGACGCTCAAGTTTGGTCGAGGTTCAATCTTACGTGCATGTCGTTTAACCGGGTAGCGTTCCCGATCCCTGTCACTACGCCGAACGCTCAACGCACTCGACTCGGTTGATGGAAATGATTATGCCATTGAATTCGACATCTCTCTGGGGGGTAGGTCGTTGCTGTTTGGTTGTTGCTCATCGCATCACCAGACCGACTATCACAGCTGAACTCTTGTGGAATGTATATGCACGGTACCGATAGAATGATCACATCAAGCTATAAGCTACAGACAGCTGTGTAGAAAGGAAGTCATCTATACCTGATCAAAGCAGTATGCACTTTGAAAGTGCAGCCGAGGCACCGGCGTATGTTCAACAATCACTCTAAGCTACGTATGGAAAATTGAATTCTTTCTCGGTTCCTCGGGCGAGAGAGGCCCTTGACTAGTCCATGAGCGGAGAGCATAAGCTGACGAACCCGGGCGAAATTACTTCTTGGAGGCTACTACAATACCATTGTCGTGTTGGTGAACGGTTGGGCAACTCTATCCCAACATCAGTATACTTTATCGCCAAGCCCAACAGTCAGGTTCAAAAGAGAGATTCAGGTTCTTAGACCCCAGCTAGCACTTATACCATTGAGGATTATAACCAAAAGCTGAGCAAAAATTAACCAATCGAGAAGACATGGCTTAGGGTTCAATCCCTCTTGAAGAAGAGGAAGTTGCTCCCGATGGCTGACAGACTTGTGGTCCGTATTTGCTCAACAGCAGCTTCGCGTGACATGACAGCAAAAGCTTTGCTACCAGGTTAACCGACATGGGCGCCAACGTGGACATGATGACGCCCGAATGACAAGAGATTATGGAGCAGGAGGCAAAAGGCAGTGTGAGCATGTAAATAAGGATCGGAACTATCAGGCGCCTGGGATGGATATGCAGAATTCTCTTGGGCCCCGTAGAAGCCTCCTTGCCTTTCATCTTCGCCCAACGCTGCTTTAAGCCCGGGCCAGTTCGCGGGCACCGGAATGGCGGTCGACCGAACCGGCGCCGGCACTCCACCGCCGTCGGGCCCCCGGCATGTGCTCGCGAGGCCAGGCGACGGAGGGGACGGAGGGGACGGGTGCAGCGCGTCAAGCCTGCCAGAACGAGCATTGTCCGTCAGGGCCCGCACGGCCAGAAACCACCCCGGGTATCTCGTTCGGGGGGCGGGCTGGGAAAGGGGGCTTTTTCTTGCGGTGGAAGACCGGCCGACGGCGATCTTAGTCAGTGCAGATACTGCCACCCTCTGTTGCGTCATGTCCCGGAACCGCCTTTAAAACCCGCCGACGCAGCGAGTGACAGAAAGGACGATAAGGAAACGGCCGGGCGGAGGCGTCAGGTCCCATCATCGTGCAGACGGATTCGATTCGTTCGGGTGGCTTGGGTATTACTTGGGGGAAGCCGGTCGGGAAGTCGGCCGTCGATCACAAGCGCCACGGCACCTTCTGAATAAGAGCGGTCACTTCGACTAAACCGAGTCGAATCTTGGAACGGTCAGCCTCAATGAGCACGTCGTACTCAACCTTCAACCGCTACAGGCATCTATCTCTAACATGGCGTGTGGTTCTGGTGATTCCCCCAACAAGACCGGCAGGCCAAAGCAACGCCAGCGAAGTCTATACTTGTGACAATCCATTAGCAGAGACCTGACACAAGAAGAAAAAGTCTTTTTGATTAGATAGGATGCCGGTGATGCTGGAGTTTTGTGCAAACACACGTACACACACATACATATATATACATACATACACCAGGCGTGGTTGCGAAAAGATTGGATGCAAAAGACAAAAATGTTCCGAAACCGAGAATCGAACTCGGGGCTATGCCTAACCTCTCACTAGATGAGAGGGCATCATGTTGGCCACTACACCATATCGGATGCTATTAATGGATGACGTGCCAGAGGTTGACCAATATTAATGTATTGGTAACGGTGGAGCCCTAAACCTCAATCCTCTCCCCATCCCCCAACAACTTCTCAATCTTCCCGTTTACACCACTAAGCCTGCGACAATGAACCCGCACACCCATCAGGCATGATCCCGGTTTAGCGCGACGCTCAGTATCCCACAGCCAATACACAGGCGGGCGAAGCTGTCGAGATTGGAGAGGCTTTGACCCCTTTTTTTTCACCATCTCAGACGAGTCTATTGACCAGTACGGCCGGGGGGGGGGTCGGGGAAAGGCCCGGATCGGTTTGACCATCTCAGCCGCACATCTTTGCTCCACGACATGACCCCCGCCCGAGGCGAGCGCAGCGCAGAGTTGCCGAGTCCTCTAAAGATCATTACTTACTATGCTTTGCGGCGAGAGACGCAGCGGCTGGAGCGAAACGGAAACACGAGGGCCGGACATCCTCTCGGACACCCGGCGAACGGTCCTCCTCCCCCCCCTTCTTCCCACGTGGTTCTGGGTAGGTAGCTTCGACTGCACTTCGCCCCGACGCAGATACACATTGGATGGCCAAGTCGAGCCGATGCTACTGTGCTGTGCGTGCAGCTGCCAGACTTTTGCATACGTCGGATGGCTGGCCCAACAAGAACCAATAACAGGTCATCGACGCTGCATGCCTCGCCTTCCAACTTTCCGGTGGTTGGGGAGAAAAGCCTACGGGCAAGGCTTGTTCCTGGACTACTGTGCATGTCATCAGAGGCTGGTCACTGAGATGGTCAGTCGGGCAGAGGCCCGTTGGGGCGTGCTGCCATGTGGTGATTTGTCATCATACTTGTATTGTGTGGGATGGGCAGCATCACAGATGCCTTGCGGCCATCACTCAAGAGACAAGAATCCGCCCATGGCCGGGCGAGATTGCGCCTCGCCGGGCCCGTTGTGCAAGTGCCCGGCCTCCCGACGGCCGGCGCGCGCTTCTTTAGCTAGCTCGGACAACACAGCTGTATGTACATGCAGCAGGAGACGGCCATGCTGAGATGGCGTCGCTTTGCCAACCACCCGAGGCCCATAATCAACCTTCGTTCCCTCAAAGGCGAGATCGTGATCCGAGCGGAAAAGGACATCGTATACCATGAGCTCGTATGTCCTTGACCTCCATGAGTCAACGGTCCAATAAGAAAAAGTGCCAAGAACGCAACGCCATGCTCGCATATGTGTGCTTGGAGAAACCCCAAGTCATCGAGAGATACGGTCGTCTCCTCGAACGGGCAAAAGAGAGTTTCCAATCCGACATGATTCAAGAAAACAACAACAGCCATTGAATAATCCCATCCACGCCTACAAATGCAGGTAGAGTGCAGTTATTTTATTTTTTTCGAGTCCGACGGCGCCCTTTTTACGGGGCGGTCACTGCCGACTACCGGCGTTCGGGCTCAAAAGGGTTCTCGCGCTGGTGTGGTTGGCGCTCGGCTTCTTCGAACGGGTTATCTTGTCGCTTGCCGTGCGGCTGCCACGCGCGCGGCGGCTTGCCCATGGTCGGGTGGTCGTCTACGTCTCCGTCAATTTCCAAGTCGATGTCGTCCTCCTTGCGCTCGAAGCGCTGCCTCCTCAGGTGGAGGAAGGTGAGGAGACCGAGAGATCCAAGAATGAGTACAGCACTGGAAACGATTATTAGCATATATGTGCAACCAACCAGAGATTGACCAAAGATGTGGTGGTTCTTGCGATGCTGAAGTCTCGGGAGTGGGGCAAAAGCACGGCCGAGGAAAGGGGCTAGCGACAGAGTGAAGATAACATGGTGAACCTACGCTGTGATTCCGCAAGTAATGCCTATGATCTTGGGCGAGTTGAAGGGCTTCTCGCAACGAGCGGGGTCGTCACCGGGGTCGCAATCGCGCGCGACAATATGGTTAAGTGCGCGGGCGACTGGGGCCAAGAGGCTCGTGGTGGTGGACGAAGAACTCATCGTGCAACGGTTCTGTTTTGTTGTAAAATGATGCAATGCGACTCGGTTTGACGCTGTTCGGCTGGCGTCGTGATTGCGGCCTTTGTCGGTTCCGACTCAAAAGCAGATAATTCTCGTCACGTCGCGTCGGGGGCAATTGACGGCTTCCTTTGGTAATTCGTTTGCACGTTGCAGCTGCGCGTCGTGTCGAGATGGCGAGTGCTTCCTATATTCCCCTTCGTCTTCTCCCTCTTGTTCGAAAGTCCTCGGTCCGGGTACTACGGGTGGGCAGTGGCAGGCTCGTCTGGAAAGAGTGGATTCCCCCTGTGTCGCTTGTTGCTGAAACCGGATTCAGTGCCCCTGCTATCGCATACTCCCGTGTCCAACGGTATCTTTTATGCAAAAGAGTGACGTCGAAAAGGGGGGAACTGGCCGAATAAGTAGATAGTTGGCGAGCACCAAGTCTGAAAGTGAAAGTGGGAGAGAGAGACAGAGACGGGCCTCAGAAAAAAAAAACGAATGTAAAGGAATGAATGTATGTTTTGAGTTGGTCTGAGAAGCAGGAAAGAACGATGTTTAGATGAGGTTGGGAGGGGTGTTAAGGAAGGAAGGGGATGGAGGGATGATCTATGAAGGAATGAATGAATGAGCGAAACGGATGAATTGGGGGGGGAGGGGATATGGAAAGAGTAATGCAAGGTACCTACCTTCCTTACCTAACTAGGTAGGTAGGTAGGTACTACCAGTAAGGAAGGCCAGATGAGAGGTAAGCCAGGAAGGGGCCCAGCACCTTTGAAAATTGAAAACACGGGGAAGAAGGAAGGAAGGCGATGCAATCTGCCACTCTGCCTATTCAGGAGAGAGGGCGCGCGTCTCAGGGGGGGGGGGGGGGGGGGCGAGGCAGGGCAGGCACGATGAATACGACATATGCAAAATGCAAGTACGGACCGGACGGCAGCGGCAGGAACGAATCTGCGTGCGTGCGTATGTGCGTGCATGCATAGGTATCCTTCCTCCATCTCACTAACGTAGCAACCTATCCTACCCAGTCTCTTTCTCTCTCGCACACATTCCCAGAGCACTTTATTGCATTGCAAGGAAATGCTAGAGACAACAGGGGGAATGTGGCTGTGTTTCACTCCGCTTCGTTCTCAACCACGACACCGACAGAGCCGGGATTGACTGACACGATTGGTCGGTCCCTGGTTCCCCTTTTAACGGTCCTTAGCCTCGCCAGACTGAAGTACCGTGTAGTATACGTACACCATCCAAAGCCGGAAAAAGGGGATTGGCGACGGGATGGTCATTCGCGCCGCCACTCCGATCAATGTCCGCCCCGTCCCAATTTCCCCAACTTTAATCGCACACACAGAGCATACTCTCTCTCTCTCGCTGTCTGTACGGATATAATAGTGCTCTGTATGCAATGTCCGGACACGGAGCGATGCTGTGGCCGAGTATGCGGTGTACAAGGGGGAGAGTTGCTCTCCCGGAGCTCTATCGCGCCCATCAGCCAATTGGCAAGGTGATAGAGCAACTGGAATGTATCCGATCGAATTCAAAGTGGCCTGCTAAAGAAACAGTCCTCGCGGGGGAAATGCTTGTCTTATGTTTCACCTTAGCCACACATTTCTCCCAGCGCCTGGTGCAGAGCCACCCACGAATGCAAAGCAAGCCCTCACCCTCGAGAGACCCTCATGCTGCCTACCTACCTAGTGTACGGAGTAGACCTTACTGATCTGTTTGTACTACTAGGCATTTGTAGCTACACAGGAATTGGCCCTCCGACCCGTGGCTCCGTTTGAGAAGGTGTTCATCCCGCCGCCATCTGTAAATCCACACGGCATCCATGCATATAGAGTTCATACCGACGCCAACCTCATCTCCGAAACAGATACTGAAGCCATGTCCATTGCCGACGCCTCTGTCTTCCCGCAGCAACTCTTACAGCCACCACACGACAGTTCCGCCCCCAGCATCTCTCCCCATTCTCCTGCTCACCGAGGCAAACCGACTCATTGACAGCCCAATCCTGCGACATGCTTCACCGCATGACTGTCACAGTTCGCTCCCCCCCACGAGGCATAGCCGCATAGGGCCAACAGGAAGCCGACCAACCGCCTGCGCCTTTCATTTCGCCTACAGGGGCCTGTGTGCCAGCGTTACCTCCCAAACCCAGCGAAGACGCACTGACCGGGCAGACCATGGCCGCCGAAGGTGTACTAACAATAGACCATCACCCCTGGAGTTGTCTCTCATGAATTCTTTTTCGAATGCCGTCGCCTAGTGCCGAATTGCCGAAGGTTATCCGGAACCCCCCGCAATTCCCTCTGTCCTATGAAGATTCGCCGCACCGAGGCTGCCCTACCTATATGGGCGGGCAAGCACGGCTCGGACGGCATGCTGTGCTTGATGGCTAACTTGAATCGCCTTTCGCCATTGCCCCCCGAATGGGATAGCAGCATGTGCCGTCTTAATTGATGTCTTGTTTGGAGGACAATGTCTGGAGAACCCGATTATCCGACTCGGAGTTTTGGCACCGGAATGCAACAGTCAGGGGACAGGTCCATCATCGCGGCCAACTCAAATTTCCCTCGCGGTAAATGTGCATCATGGCTTCGGACGCATTCGATCGGACAACAGAGCTGCGGGGCCGTATGCGGAGGGACACGGATCCGATGTTCTAAACTTGAGTGGGCCAACGGACGGGCATACGCCGTTTCCGCGCCGTGCAAATGACCCACCCATCACCGTACCACCCCGGTGACCCCGAAAGCCTGGAGGCTGGAAATCTCAAAGAATTCCCAGTAGTCGCCGGAACATTGGATCATCATACGGCGATGCCCTCCGCATAATTATATAGAGTCGGACACCATCTCTTACCTGAACGCCCTCAAAACGAACAACAAAGACGCTCCGGTTCTCAAACCGCCTCGTAGTGTCTGAATCAAAGGAGGAATGCTTTCCCACTAGCCTTGACCCGACATCATACGGGCATTCAACGCATCCAAACGGACGGGGATGCAATCATGGAAATAACGTGAAGAAGGATAAGGAGGTGGGGGGTGGGCGCTTTGCCTTGTTCAAAGATTAGGACGACGATCATCCAGTGCGGGTGATATCCTCATTGTTGATCCGATAAAACGTCGTCGCTGGGGACTCGAAGACCAAGACTTTTTTTGCCACTACTCCGCACACAATATGCGAGGATGTGAAAATCCCATCCCCCATCCCAAAACACAACCCGCGACATCCGACACCCGCGGTCTGTTTCCGTTTCCTTCTCCGCCTCGGCAAAGCCAAAGCCCGCGAGAGGAGGTTCGTAACGGGCACACTAAAGCCCAAATCAGCGCGGCTGGCGTCGGGTGAGCAGCCAGACCTCTTCGGCTCGAACAGATGAGAATCCTTGCGGCGCCAGAGACCACGTTCGCCCCTCGCCTCGCTTGCTCCGCTGCGCGAAGTGACAGCAACGTGCTAATCGGGCAGCAAGCAAGGGGTTAGCTTTTATTTTTCGTTCTTCGCTTGCGGTTCACGGTTTGCAATCCCGCCCCATCTCCTTCCCGCGCAGAGCCACGGGTGTTTGTAAACTGGCTCGAGAGGTCTTTGCGAAGTCTGGACAACGACGAGACCGCGTCTAGACTTCCTTTCGACCCGCCAAGAGTGTCGGTTGTGGGAAATGGAGCGAGGGGGTGGATGGGGGGGGGGGGTTCCGTTGTCGTGTAAACAGCCCCAATTCCAGGCCCGAGGAGCTTCGGAGGGCGTGAGACGCTACGAATGACAGAATCGCAGGCACATATTGTTCTACGTTCCTCAGTGACATTGTCTTGGACATCTCCGAGGGAGAAGATGGGGTGGGGAGGGGCCAAGAACGCTCTCAGAAGTTAGCCGCTAGGCGATACCACAGCCGGAACAAGTACGAGAGTAGTACGAAGGTAGCAATGAATGAATGAATGAATGAAAGCGAGCTGGGAAACTGGGGGAACAGGCCACTGACATGGGCAATTTTGTTCCTTTTCTTTGTCCTCCAAAAGGTGGCCCCGGAGCGCGGGTTTTGTCTTGTTCACAAAACTGCTCTTCCGAAAATCAAACCTCGGGCCGGAGAGCCGCAGCGGCCCGAGCAAAGCCAGGCTTGACCATGATGACTTGCCCTCCCTTAATGAAAAGGAATGTACTGGGACCTCTCCCATGCTACGTGACCGGAGGAACTGACGTTGACGACTGTAGCTGGAGATGGCGGGGGAGACAATAACTAAACCAACCAAGGGAAGTCGGTTCACACATGGCGCGATGTCCGATGCGTCCCCGCGGAGATGCAGAGATCGCGCACGACTTGCGGTGGCCGTGAGTGGCGAGGCTGATCTGCGGGCGAACGTCGTAAGCGTTACCACGAGATTTTTCTTCTTTTTTTTCTTTTTTTTTTTTTTTTGCTGCAACCGGCCTAGCTTCGGTCATCCCGCCGGCCGCCTCACGACGCTCTTAGGAGGGAGGGGCGCAAAATGAGGGGGAATGATGGACCCGAAAACCTGGGGGGGAGATGTGCCTCGTATCGCAATGGGAAAAGAGGGCGACGTGAAAGAGGGAAGCTCCCGAGCCGAGGTTTGTCTTTGGTCTGGTACTTTGTTCTTTTTTGCTTGGTATAAGTGAGAGATGGGGCAGGGAGTGGGGTGGCAGTGGCCGATCCGAATGTCGTGGAATGGGGATGTGAGAGAGACTGGAGTTTGACTTGGGAGGGGGATGGTTAGCATGTGCGTTTGTGTCATTCCCCCCCCCCCCCCCCCCCCCCCCCCCTTCAACTTTAGACGCCAGGTTTGCAATGACCCCATGTTTCTGTTGACTCTGCTCGGGAAGAAGAAGGCGAGGGACAAGGCGAAGGAGGGCCCGAGGCCGGGATATGCTATTATTAGGAGTCAGTCTGGGATTTGACGAACTGGGGGGCTGGCGTATCCGTGAAGCTCGTGGCGGTTCAAGATGACGGGTCAAGACGTCCCCGTCGAGGGCCGCTTCAAGCGGGTATCAAATGT